AATAACCTCCTTCCTATTGCAAACCACAAAGGTAGGTTCTTTACCATGGTTTAGAATATTCAGGCTCGAACTCGCCAGAAATTCCAGTGCCAGTGCTCCCCCACAAGATGTGGTGCGCATTGGCATCACACCCAATGATGAGTTGCTTCTTCCTGCTAAAGCAGTAGTCTGTGATGTCCCTCATTTCCTTAGTTGGTGGTGGTTCATCTGAGTCGTATGGAAGGTAGACTGAAGCAACAATCAGCTCCCTGCTGCCTCCTCGATACAGGTATGTTATCCTTACTGTCGTATCCCTAGAACAGAGCTCCAACAAACGCAAGGCATTAACATGATTCCTGATATAAACACAAGATCTTGCATTATTACTGGGTGCAGCATAGTAAACTGTTCCCCCTGTGTTAGTTAAGCCCCTTATTTGAACCTTGTATCTCCAAGGTTCCTGGATAAGTGCTACATCTGCCTTACCCTCAGTTAGCTGTTGGCACAGAGCTGCCCTGGCAGCTTTGCTGTGGCGTAGGTTGATCTGAAGAAATTTCATGATCTCTTCCAATTGAGGAGGGGTCAATTTCCATTTTATGTACCTCTCCGTTCTCGGACTGGGTTCTGTGTGAAGGGGTCCTCTGATCCATTTTGCTTTGGTCATCCGGGAGGCTGGGTATCTCATTCCTTTCCTCCTCAGAGACCGAGTTAGAAGATGCAGTGTCTGTCACAGGTTCTACCTGGCGCTGAACTTCAGGATCATCCACCACCTTAACAGTCCCCTGTGAGAGTCCTGTAAATATTTTGTAACCGGTCCTCTGTATAATAGTATGGGAACACCGGTCTATGAATAAGATAAGCCTTTGGACTTTCGATTCAGATCTTGTCAAGTACCCTCCAGTTCTCTGTATGAAGTCCCGGATTAAGGTTTGCAATCCATTTCAGCAGCTCTTCCTGGTTTTGGGCAATTTTGTCCCTAGTCCAGAGAGCTACTTTAACAGGCTTAGGTGGGTTCCTGGCATCATTAGCCTTCAGCCTGGTCCCTGATTTGACCTTGTGGTCATCAGTGGCTTTGGTGAGCCATTGACCAGACTGTTGGTCGGCACATATATAAATAAGTGCACCTCCCAACAGTCTGTAGGATTTCAGGTGTGGTAGTTCTTCCTTTGGAGTCCTACATAACACCTCGCCCAATGCTTCCAGAATGGAATTTTGGTCGTCTTCAGTAAGCTTATCCTCAGGGTAAGTGTCCTTGAAGATAGCTACCTTTATGTTGGTCAGAGCCTCCTTGTAAGTCCCTGGGCTTTTTCAGAGTTCTGGCCGTTTCTGTAGGGGTACTGCCCTCCGACCTTGGCCTCTTAAAGGTGACGGTGGGGGTTTCTCCCTGCTTGTATGAGCTTGCATTTCCTGGTTGCTGACTGCTCCCATTTCCTGCTTTGCTTGTCTCAGCTTTTGACTTTTTTAACTTCCGTCTAGCGCATCCAGACAAAGCTTTCTTCGTCAGACGGGGTCCACCTACTCCAGAGCCTAGGTGTCCCAGCCTTTCCCCTGCTGCAGGTATGTTAGAAGTACTAGCTCCCTGCAGTGGTGTGTCAGTACTACCGACCCCCAGGAGAGTAGTTTTTAGTTTTGCCTCTGGCAAGTTTTGAATCACTGGTTCATCCTAGCCTTTGGCTGAAATTTCAACAGCAGTTTTGCCAGTTGCAACTGGGCCCCTTAGTGGTTCACCAGAGCTTCCAACTCCCTACTGAAGCATTTCTCATAGCGATCCCCTTGAAGGGGAGTCCCCCTTCAGTTTAAGGTTTCATTTCTATTTGAAGTATCATTTGACTTACATTTAGGAGTGTTAGCATAGTTGGTTGAGGCACAATGCTACAAGCCGGAAGGTTGCAGGTTCAAATTCTGATGAGCTCATTGGATTTTTCAGTTGCCCTAATCCTTCCAGCTGTACCGTGACCCTGCTGTTGACCAAGTCTCAAACAGAAATGAGTGCCAGGAATGCTCCTGAGGGTGAAGGATGGCCGATGTATAAGGCTGACAAACTTATCACCATCTGTGAGCCAGTTGTCTAGAAAATGTGGGAGTCTCAATGTCTCACAACCGTGTGGGCCTCCACAGCCTGTTACAGGGATAGCTTTACCTTTCTTTACCTTCGGCTTACTTTTGCCAAGATTTGGCTTGAAAATTTCTTTCCACTTTTATGCAACATCTGTGTCAACTGGTAAAACACATATACGTAACACTTGACAATATTGCCACATATTTATGGGTGTGTGACTGCAGACAGAGTAGGGATTGGTGAATGGGTTTGTTGACCACTTGTATACATCACTTGGAACTACACAGAGATCACTGATACACAGAGACTAGTGTCCTCAGCATTCATGGTGACGCCATTGCCCACTGGTTAATGTTCCACACCTGAACTCTCAACTGAATTGTAGCACCAGTTGTTTTCAAGATAACTCCTTGGCATGGACCACACAGAAAACACAGCCCCTTTATTTTTGTAGAGGTATATTTACTGTGCCATTGCATACAAGTAGTATTGGTCGTGACGCAGACAGCGTAGAAAACTCTGTTCTTCTGTTGCGTGCATGTATGTTGCGGGCCTTAGCAATGGCTGCTGTTTACAGAGTCACTGCTTAACAATGGGTCTGTATGACACAGTGTCATAGCTTTGTTGAAATGTGTCCAGCCATTCAGCACTGCAAATCAGTGCCTGGTTTCAAAGCAGTTTTATCAGTTTTTTTCTTTCAGAATGAGTCCTGGCAGTGGAATACACTGTACATGGCTTGCTGTTGACAAACCCACTGAAACATCTTTCTTTCTAAATCTGCATGCTTTACAGCTTTGATTCTCATGCCTGTTTTTAAGTTCATTTCCACTTGCAGCTTGTTAGTTGATAAACTCATCCCCCCCCCCCAAAATGTGGTGAACTATAAATGCTTAAAAAATACTGGAACTTAAACCCAAAAGAAAGTACTACCATAAAAAGTGACTAATTTTACTTTGCTATTTTAATTTTAAAGCACCTGCTAGTTTCATATTTGTGAATTGTCACTCCTTGTTTCACTTTCACACATTTCATATTTCATTACCTCGCCATATTTATAAAGTAATTTGTGTGAAATATAGTTATACTTTCAGCCATAGGACTGTTTGAAACTTTTATGTAATTGTTGCTTGATGTACAGGAAATTTCACATGATTATTGTGTTGCTGGACATTATCCATTGCACTGTTTTTATTTAAAACACAACATTTTGAAACTGGATAGGGACTAGCTCTGTCAGTTGGGCCTCACTGAGTAGGGTCCCCCTGAAGACAGAGACAGAATCTAGTCTACGAAATATTGTGTGTTTTAAATAAATACAGGATGATGGATAGTGCCCAGGATATTGATATTAATATACCATAGTCACAAACCTTTACAAAATTTCAGTTGAGCACGTATATGATAGGAGGATAGCTTTAGGTTTTAACTTTGAAAACTGAATACTTTCACACATCATAGGTAAAGGTAGAAATTTGAATATGCTGAATGTGGCAGAAATAGTGAAGTGTATTTAATATGGCATAATGTTTCATAGAAATCAAAGTATTTTATTTTGAACACATGTTCTCTTTCTGCATTCTTTGACATTTTTTATAATATGTTACTTTCTGTAAAATATGTCCCACATATAACTGCCGTTCTGTTGAATGCATTCATTTGCATGAGTCGAGAGTCTTTGCATCACTTCATGAAGTCTTTCTTCTGAAATATGGGTAGTTTCTTGTCAGATTCTGGCTTATAGCTAAATGAGTGCTGCCTGACTGCCCATTCATTTGTTTTTAGGTATCCCCAGGAAAGGAAATCAGGAACAGTTAGATCTGGAGAATGAGGAGCTTAGGGCACATATTGAAATGAGAATTCACAGATTGCAAGCACATCCACACTAATTCTTGCCATGTGGGCCCCAGCACTCATCATGCTGAAATAGATTTTCATGGCCTGGAAGATTCATTACTCAGGTATGAAAAATGTTTCTGTCATATGAGTGTAGCCATGTGACATAATTTGTGATAGCTTGCCCATCTTCATCTTCAAAGAAACGGGATACAGCTATTGCAGTATGTGACACTGCATACCAAACAGTAACTTTTGGGTCATGCAGAAGACTTTCATGCAGTTCATACAAATTTTCAGCATTCTAGGATTGAAAGTTTCTGCTTGTTAGTGGAGCCATTCAAAAAATATGCCCCACCATTAGAATGTTGTCTCATATCTTGATTAGCAGCCATTAATTTCAGAAGCTGATGGACACATTGCAAGCACATCTCTTTGTCATGGTCTCTGAGCTGTTACTCAACTTAAATTTTGTACGGTTGAAAGTTCAGGTCACTGCAAGAGGTACTTCACACTTCTGTCAGTCTGTCAAGCTTGAGCATGCTTTTGTGCTGACCTTGGACTGCAGTTGACAGATGCTAACACCTGAATAATATTATGAGGAATGTGCATGAAATAGGATTGATTGGGTAGCATTTTATAGGTTACAGAGTCTTCATACCAAAGTCTGGCCCGCTTATGAATTTTGTTTGGAGAAGGGGCTGTTGGTAAAACTTTAATTGAAATCCTTGTTTTAGTTCTGTAATGGACCTGTTTGAATGGAAAGCTTTACAGTAAAGCACACATGCTTCCATAATAGTGCTCTATGATAAATTGAACTGTAAATTCAGCGCTATAAATCCATTGCACATATTCTGTCATACTGTAGTGGAGAAACAGATGATTGAACTCTTAAGAGGCTTCACTGTTTCTGCAGTACTCTGTATATTGAATGCATGCAAATTAGATACACTGAGAAAAAGATACTTATTAGAGAAAGGGCTCACAGGGACAGTGGGGAGCAAGCAACTGTTTCTGATGAGTGAATTGGTTTCTTTTCTCCCTATTTATAACTTTCTGATGTTCCTATACAGGTGTTTTATTGAGGTGATGAGGCCAAACTTTTAACTAATTGAAATCTTCTTTGCAGGCCAAAGAGCCTCTGAGGTTAAAGTATCGCTATCTAGACCTCCGTTTCCCAGAGATGCAACACAATCTTCGGCTTCGTTCCAAAGTCCTGATGAGCATGAGGGAATATTTGTGCAATCACTGTGACTTTGTGGAAGTAGAAACACCAACACTGTTCCGAAGAACTCCTGGGGTAAACAGTATATATTTCAGATGTTTATATTAGTGCTTTTCTTTCTATTCAGTTGCATTTGTAGATGTTCCTAATTTGAAGCAAGGAGTGAAGGATGTCTTAAGGGTATGTCATATTTGTGTATATGTACCATCTTCCAGTTTTTTTAGTCCTGTATTGGATCACTCAAATTTGATGGCAGGGTCATTGTACTGGGAAGGTTGTGAAAGGAAAGAAACAACTTTTCTAAGGACCATAAAGTGCCCCAAAAATAATGAGCAACTTGTGTTCCCAACCCGTAACCTATCCAGGTGGTAAGGAGATAAAACATTGCTTAACCATCTGTGCCCCAGGTCAAGCTACATGGAGAGTGATGGGGAGAGTGGGTTTTGGAATGGAATGGGGGGGGGAAGAAGCATGAAGATGGATCTTTCTTAGGATTAGGAGGGAGATGGTGCTGGAAGAGGAGTGGGTGGCTTCCCGCTATGTGCATTTGTAGCTGTTCATTGCTGTAGCATGAGGTTTGTTTGAAAGGAATGTTTGTGGTGTCTTTTCTGATGCTTGGCTCTGTGAGTGATTATCCTCCAGGAAGGGCTGAACTTGCAGTTCACCTTCTCAATTAAAAGTTCTCATGTAGGTTAATTTCTTTATTTTTCTTGGTAGTTAAATGTTATAGTGTAACCATTTGGAGATCTCTTCCCAGTCATGATTACCATTTCATAATTTTCCCTAGTATTTAATCCTTATCCTTCTTTATGTATTTCACCAGTGTTCTTTCCTTTTTCTTATCCCTTGTATCTGTTGCAATGAAATCCACATATGGATACCTATGACTGATTATTGTTACTGATGTTTACCAAAGTCTCATCTGCTCTGTGAACCGGGGTGTATTGTCCTTGTTTAAGCAACCTTGTGGAAGAAGAGTCATTTATATAAGTATTTTTGAATTTTCCAGCAGTGTATAAATATCACATGTTTCTTGAAAACAGAATGTAGTAAATTGTAATGATTATATGAACAGTACATCACTGACTGGTGGTGATGCATCCTCATTCCCATAGTAGATGGAGTTTAACTTAATGTGCAAAGAAATGATAGAGCCATTTCATCAGTACATCGGTAACTGTTTTACTGACTGTACAAGTCAGGATTGTATTAAACTATCAAACATAAGAAATAAAGGACAAACCAGTCTTCATCTCCAGTCTTATTGGTACTAGGGTGCACAAGAATTTGTGGTTCCATCAAGGCTGGCTGGTCAGTTCTACTCATTGGTTCAGAGCCCACAGCAGTTCAAGCAGCTGTTAATGGTTGGTGCAATTGACCGCTATTTCCAAGTTGCTCGTTGTTATCGAGATGAAGGAGCTCGACCAGACAGACAACCTGAATTCACTCAGGTACTTTGTGGTGTATTGTTTCCCTATTTATTACCTATAAAGTTTAAGTATTCTAGGTTATGACATTGTGTAGTGTTCTCTTACAGTATGCTTACTGTATAACAATACAGGTTCATGCATCATCCAAGTATTATCAGACAAATCTATATTTACATCATTATCACTGTTTGCTGCTACAGACTCTTTTATGCCATATGGCTGAACTCACAGGCGGCAGACTTCTTTGACAAAGGCATTCAAAAACTTATTCCTCAATACAATAAGTGCCTCAGTTCCAGTGGTGACTATGTTGAGAAGTAGTTTAAGTATGTACAGTTTTTTTCTGATTGCCTCTTTTGTTATCAGCTCACCAGAGGTTACTTTCCAAATAGACTTAGTGTATATAGTAGTATAATAATACTCACGTGTGTGGATGAAAGAGATGGCTAGAATGAATGTATGTGAGGCACTACACCAGTGTCTCAGCTGCCAACTTAGTTGATATATTTTTATCATGAAAGAAAAAGAGAGAAGACAAATGTCTGCAAATATTACTAAAAGAGTTTATAAAAATCAGCATTTTCCATTATTGAAAAATGTTATTTTGTGAGAATATTTGTGGGAATACACTTAAATACTTTCTGTCTGCTTGTGGTGCCAGTGGATCACCTTCACAGACAGAATAATCTGCTGCCTTCAGAAGAACAGTCTTTTCTGCACTGATGGCTGGTGGCAGCTGGTTCTTCCAAAATGCTGGTACCTCTACTAAAATACATGACATCAAACCCCAGTAGACCACAACCTTGATACTGCTTTGAGAACTTTGTACCAGTTGTGAGTTTGTGACAAATTTTGTTATCACAGCCATGTATCTGCTTAGATTACATCTGTAACAAGACAGTAAATTACTGCCAAGAAATCAGTCCTGTTCCCTGATTCATTATGAGTTCACATTTTTTTCTGAACCTAGAGAGAGCTGAAAACATGCAACATATCCTTGTTGGAGGATGCACTGTGCAGAACTACAATATGATATAATTTTAGACACTTTCTTTAATGTCTCTTTACTAATCTTCATTTGTGAATAATTTATGATTTCAGCTAGACATTGAGCTGTCATTTTCAGATCGTGAGGGACTTTTCTCTCTGGTTGAAGGTCTGCTAGAGCACTGCTGGCCACATGAGAAAGAAAATGGAATCTCTGTTCCATTCCCCAGGATGACATATGCGGAAGCAATGGAGCTATATGGAACTGATAAGCCTGATACACGTTTTGAAATGAAGGTACAGATTTCTTTCAGACCATGCAGTGCTGATGAATATTAATCATACTTAGCATGCTTGGGCAGTATGTGTATTAAAGCACTGCCAGTTGCACTTTTCTTTAAACTTGACTGACTGCATGAAGCAGAGTCGTTCTCGAGAAGCTGATAGTAACTCAGGTAGTCAAGGAACCCTGCCTCATAAAGTATCAGAGTGTTCATTACTGCATTACAAGAGCCTTTGACCTCACCCTATCCTCAGTAGTCTAAATGCAGTGTACATACATCATATTTCTTGTAAATCCATTTAAATATTTTCCCATCTGCACCTGGGTCTACCAAATGGTCTCTACTGTTCAGGTTTTCCAACCAGATTTTTTGGGTGCATTTCTCATCACCCATGCATACATCATGCCCTGCATATCTTTGTACAGCTTTACTTTCATGTTTCATAAAAGTGGAGGTAAGAGTTTTAAATATAGTGTATAATGTTTCATTTTCATCTGTTTAGCTCAAAGATGTGGCACATGCAGTCAAATTGAGCGATTCAACTGGAATGGAAGTTTCAGACTTCACAGCTCAAGCAGTTGTTGTGCCAAAAGGAAGTGTGAGTCTGTTTATGCATTTAACTACTTTACCCCGAATCCAGCCAAATGTCAGGTCATAAGGGGAGCCCTAACTTAGAATCAGGGTTGTGATAATGTGCTGTCTGGCTGAGAGTATTAGGGATGTCAGGGCCAGTGATAATGAGTCTAGAGGGTACATTTTTAAACAAGATATATTAATTATCATGATTTCAGTGCACAAAGAATATCAGTGGACAGCGTGTATGTGTGGATTAACTATACACTCGAGTGCCAAAAGTCATGGGATAGCAGTATGTAAATTTATTTTTAAGTTACGCCAACATCCCTTGACGGCTTGGGAATGCCCAGAGCAGTATCAGTTGTGATGTGTTCTCTCATGAGTCAGGTTGAACACCGGCCAGTCTGCTCATGGCAAGCCGACGTGAATTATCAGAGTTTGAACGGGGCATGATAGTGGGTGCCAGGCAGATGGGACATTCCATTTCCGAAGTTGTGCAGTCATTCAACATTCCTCGATCCACGGTGTCACGTGTTTACTGGGAATACCTTGTGGAAGGCATTTCCACCCACCGTGGACAGCGCAGTGGCTGACCACAGGTGCTTAATGATCGTGACCAGCGGCGTCTAGCTAGAATTGACCATAGTAACAGACAAGCGACGCTGGCTGAAATTACATCAACATTCAATGCAGGAGGTACCAGATGCATATCCAGCAGGTCAGTGCAGCGTTCTTTAGCTTCCATGGGATATGGGAGCAGAAGACCGACCAGAGTGCCTCTGTTAACACCACGACACCAGTCCCAGCACCTCACCTGGGCTTGTGACGTCGCTAATTGGACCCTGGAGGATTGGCAGCATGTGGCATGGTCCGATGAGTCACAGTACCAGTTGTTTCAGGCGGATGGTAGGGTTCGGTTGTGGCGCAGACCCCATGAGGCCATGGACCCCAGTTGTCAACAAGGCACTGTGCAGGCTGGTTGTGGTTCCATACTGGTGTGGGGTGTGTTTATGTGGCATGAGTTGGGTCCGCTCGTCCACCTAAACACGTCATTGACCGGTGACCGCTACGTTACAATGCTTGGTGACCATTTTCAGCCCTTCAGGGACTTCCTGTACCCCCACAACGATGGGATATTCCAGCAGGACAATGCACCATGTCATCGGGCCGGAGTTGTCCAGAATTGGTTTGAGGAAAATTCTGGAGAGTTCCGACAAATTGTGGGGCCACCACGTTCACCCGACATGAACCCAGTCGAGCATTTATGGGACGTGGTTGAGAGGTCCATTTGCACCAAAAATCCTACACCTACAAATACCAGGGAGCTGTGGGCGGCTATCCAGACGGCATGGCTCAACATCTCTCCAGAGGTCTTCCGTCCACTTGTGGAATCGATGCCACGTCTAGTTGCTGCACTTCGCTGGGCTAGAGGGGGTCCTACACGGTACTAGGTACCTATCCCATGACTTTTGGCACTTCAATATATAATTTTTTTCTAGCATTGGCCTATTAAAATGTGCAAATATTATTTTTGCTGTATAAACTAAATCAGTTCTTGCTTACCTAACTTGTTGCTTGCCGTGATCCAATAGATCAGTTCAGCATATTTATGTTGAAAGTGCCACAACTGAAGAGATTGGCTCATTGTTATACACTGAGTACAACAATTCCGTTAATAGATATATTATGTCTAGAGGAATGCAGATTTTCATGCTGTCTGTGCTGGTAGTCTTTTGAGGGTAATCTGTGGAAGTATTCTGGGTGTGTTTGTACAACAGCATTTATCCCTGAGCAACTTTGGTTTTTTCTGGTAGGCCTATGGCAGCACTTGATAGTGGATAAAGCTAAAGTGGATGAAACAAAAAATAAGACTAGGTGGTGTGTGTCCTTTCAGTTCACAGGATGATGTTGTATTTTTATGATATTCCATACATTAACACCTTTTTCTGAGGAAATAGTACATTTTCTATTGTCATCAAACTTCAGTGAATGCCCTTGATTAAATTTCAAAGGATGGGTTTAAATGCTATGGGCAAACAGCCCCATAAAGTTTTTTTGTGGTACTTAAATTTTAGTGCAGTCTATATGGAAAACTTCACTATTGTCTAAAGTAAGAACGGTAAAATTACAAAATAAATGCCACTTGTATGCAAATAAAACAGATTGTGCAGGGCCTTTTTTAAAAATAATACCATTAATATTGTAACATTGTAACCATGGGGACTCACTGTTAGAATTACAATATTGCATTGCTTCTGCTGTCTAGGAATGGATGCATTCCAATTGTAGCATTGTAGTGGGAACATGGATCAGTACCTAGGAAATGACTGTTTGGATATGCACTCTTCAGCACATTACAATATATTAATTACATAAGTATATACTATACTCTAGAAGTTTATAAATCTTGAGTTTCTTTTACTTGCATTACAGCTGGAGGTTGCACTTGCAGCAGTTAACAGCTGTGTCTTGGTGTGATATTCCAAGAAACAGTTCTGTTCACATGTAAACCCACCTCATATATGTGACACTTCACACTGACTTTATTCATTACCCTGCAAGCTGAACGTATGCAGCAACACATTTGATTGAATGGAGCAGGCCAGTGATTGTTGCTACTAGAGTCCAGTCTAGTGACTTTACTGACAACATTTCCTGGCCTAGCTAATGGTTTCTGTACATGTGGCTGTTACCCAGCATGTGCCTCTGTATTCCTCACCATCCCCACAAGGGCAACATGGAATTCTGTGTCTGACATGTACTTTCTACCACGTGAAGAAAGAAGAATGTAACTATTCATGATATCCATGTCTAACAGATGGAAGAGCAGTTTCTTCATCCATTCCCATATGTAATGCCCTATTGAATAGCTATTGGCTATCCTGTTCCCCTTATCCACATGAGCCACATGATGGTTATATTCTTCCACAGCATCTCTCATTCATTACAGAAGGCACATTCTGCTGGTGGATTGTGAATGTTGGTCAACATGTGAATGTCCCTTTTGTTCATCCACACCACTGCTGTCAAGTCACCCCTGGTTTGCACTTGAATGTCACCCCATTTCAGTTGTATCTTCTTGTGCCTTAGGGCTTCTGGCATGCCCTTCCTACTTGGTCTCACAGTTCAGCAGTATATTTTTTCCCCTGTCAGGTCATTGAATAAGGTGGGAGAGGAGAAGAAATTATCCATGTACAACGTGTGACCTCATCCATCTACTTTTCAAGTTCTGTTGCTGTAGCATGTGTATCTGTCAAGTCTTGTACATTATACCATTTGTCTATCCACAGGTATGCTGTCATATTGGTGGAGTCACAGAATTTATATATGTTTATGGTGAAAGCATTCATGCCTTTGTGGACTGTACTGTTTAAAAGTACTCTTCCTTTGAAGAGAACAGTAAATTTGTCTACTGACAGATGTTCGGAAGTGTTGTAATATTTGGAACAACTCCATATTCAGAATATCACAATTTTCATCCATCTCATCAATTTCATTCCTCTTGTCTGAGAAGTGTAAGAAATAAAGGATTTATAGGACTCTGCCTCATTTTATCATGTTGCTATAGAAATGTGTGCAAAACTGATACCTTGTTGCCCATTAGTCTGTCAGTTGGTCTTGTATGAAGTGTCCCATTTGTATCATTATGGCCAGAAGACAATCATTTCATATTCGGTCATGTGAGATGCTGGAGGCAGTCCACTGTCAGGTGTGTCTAAGTAATGGTGATACCGTTGGTTAGTCTTTGCCACTGGCAGTGTGATATTTCTGCAGAAAACGAGGCTGTAACTCTCATTTATGTATGGTGCTTTGTTGCTGTTTCCAGTGGGACCTCTTGTATAGTCATGAACTCTGCATTTCCCAGGTTGAGATGGAAATGACCATTGTGAATTTACTTGCTCTTGTAGTGTCTGTTGATGAGGTTCGTTCTGTTCATCTCCTTTGGAGACATCAGGTGGACTGGGGCTGTGTGACATTTCATTAATAGTATCTACACTTGAACATCCTGTATAGGCATTCTGTGAGGTTGCTTGCACCTATTGCAACAATGACTGATCTGGCCAGAGTTCTTCACAACTTTCTTCATTGTCCAAATTTTAATTCTTTTCATTTTTCAGAGGCCATTCGAAACCATTTCAGCTTAATCTGTCTTCCAGAGTGCTTGTTGACTGTTATTAGAAGTGTATGTTAATTTCATTTTTTTATATGTTTAGGTTCATCTAACAACAACAATAAAAAATAAGTATGAAGGCTTGGCCAAGAAACAGTTTTCTTCCACTAAGCTGATACTGAGTAAAGTGACATCTGTTGAGGACTGGGAGGAGAATCTACAAAAAAACTTCAGTACTGTTGTAGTCACAGCTCTGAAAGAGAAGCTAGATCCAGAACCTTTTGACTTAATTATGCTGGCTCTTGGAGACAGACAGCAAGTTGTGAGTTAACTTTATTTTGAAGATATTTATATTGTTTTGTATGACATCATTCTTAGCCAATGAGTACATGTTTTGTGTTTTTGGTTTCCAAATATGAAGTATTTAGCTTATGTGTGACAAATTGGGTAGTACAGTAAGATCTCACTAGTCTGGACTGTGTGGAAGAAAGAGAAATGTGTGTATGATGATAGTTGAGATCAGAGAGGCAGAAAGCATATGATAATGAAGACTATAAGGCTACATTTGAATTACCATACTTATTGACATAATTTATGCCTCAGAATACTTTATACGCCCCTATTTCTAGAGAAGAAATTAAGTACTTTATTTCCTACCTTCTACATTAAGCCAGAAATTTTTGTATGTATATGTAAATAGAGTGAATTTGGATCGAAGTGTTTTGTATTAATCTTTATTGTTTGTGCATCACAGTACTGTGATGGCTGATGCATGGGTCTGACAAGCCTGGAATCACATTGTTTACAATAAAAATACCATTACCCAAAAATTAAAATTTGGCTTCTAGTATGATAATGGAAGTCGGTTTAAATTGTGTGTTCCTAAATGCTCAAGGTTAATTGAGTTAACAGCTCAGTCTTTAAGTGTTTCAGGTCAACATCTCCTGCTATCTGCTTTTATTTATTTTTTTTTAATTTAATATCATATTATACTCATACTTAGAAAAACTAATATAGAAAACTTTATTCTAAAGAATAGTGATTTGATTGGTATAGTGGTTATGTGAGAGCCTAAAAGTTAGAAGTTATTGGTATAAAAGACTACTTTTTTATTGCTAGTGGGGTGGGGCTAAGTCTCTTGTACTGCGGCCATTTCTGGCCTATTGTACCAGCCCCAGATGATAGGTGAGGGTGATTGTGGAGCAATTGGTGGAATGAAGATGGGCAGGGGAAACCAAAGTACTCGGAGGAAACCTGCCCCACCGCCACTTTGTCCACCACAAATCCCACTTGACCAAACCTGGAATCAAACCCAGGCCGCTGTGGTGGGAAGCCAGCGACTAACCGCTTGAGCTATGGCCCGGCTCTCTAAAAGACTGTAGTCTTATGAGATATTTTGTCTCACTCTTAGGGGAGAGTGCAGAATGAGTGTATGAGAGCAAGGAGCTGAAGAGAGATGATATAGTAAAATACAAAATACTTTATAAGGAACCTCATTACTTATGCTTTTCTCATGATATGGTTGAGATGACTAAATTAAGAGGGCACAGTCATGTAGGGCATGTTGCATGTGAAATGGAAATGAGAAATGTATACAAAATTTTGGATGGAGAATTTTCATGAAAATGTTAAAAGAATCTTTGTATTTCATAAATGTATAGAATTTCTGATCTACCTGAATACCAGCTGCTTAATGAAGATCTTATACCTTGGAGTTGGGTTTGTTAGATAATTCATTATTTTAATTAAGAATTGTTTTTGTAGCTGAAGCTGCTTGGTAAGTTGAGGGTGGATTATGTAGACTACTTGGAAAGTAAAGGTGTAAATCATCATCGAACTTCACGTTTCAATTTCTTGTGGGTTCTGGATTTCCCACTGTTCTTCCCAGGAGAGAAACCAGGCAGTTTTGAAACAGCCCATCACCCATTCACACAGCCACATCCAGATGATATTTATATTCTTCAGAAAGATCCTCTTAGGGTGAGTCCAGTTATATTTATGTATATATTGCTTTGCACAATGTTATGTACATCTGTAGTTCTTGGGTATTGAGAGGTACTCTTGGTGGAATCCATTTTGCAGGTCTGACATTTGCATTTTTAACATCTATTTAGTTTGGTTTGCTTAATACATTTTTATTTTATGTACTTGGTCATAGGTTGGGTCAACATCTCCATAGCATGGACATTTTTATGTATTTCTCATCACATTCTATTACCTTATTTGTCATTATAATTCCACAGTCTACAAACAGATGCATCTTGGAGATATTGGGTTTTCGGACTTTATCCATCATCCTGGTTTTAAGATAACTAAGAAAAACAGGACATTTCTGAAACTGGATCTGTTTCCATCCTCAGGTGAGGGAAAACACCTATTCTGTTGGGTCTCTTAGGAAGAGCTAGCCTCAATCATTGGACAAATGATGTCCCAAAACACAAAGGTTATAAATACCTGAGACCAGGGTAAGTCCATCAGAGCTAATAAGAAAAATATACATTACAAATTGTTCCAAACACGTACAAGCGTGGAACCAGGATAGATAGAGCCGTAGAAATTTATGTCACGAAACCAAACTAATAACCAGGTCCATGACCCCACGGCATGGACTAGAAAGGAAAACTAGTACAAAATTAATAGTGTCTAATTAGCGTCAACAATGGAGTAAATCACGTCTATCTAATTTAGAACCTAATAGAAATCAATAAAAACATATATCACGTCATACAGATCTTCTATGTGAATTGGTGACTTCATTGCTCATAATGGGGATCCAAATGGGAGAAAAGTTCAAACTGGGTTGGCTGAGCGTGCCATATGGGCCGCTTCCTTATATTTTCTATACCTGATGTGGCTTTCAATATCCCAGCCTACCCTATGTTCCTCTTCATAGGCCTGTTGAGCTAGTTTAGATTTCTCTAGAAGACCTTCTTTGAGGTTATGCCTATGTTCCCGGAGCTGCACAGCCAGAGGTCTGCCTGTTTCGCCAATGTAGCTTCTGCCACATTCACAGGGAATGCTATAGACGCACTGTGCCGTCTGTTGCGGATCTCTTTTCGGTCTGGTTTTCATAAGAGAGTTCCTAAGAGTGTTTTGTTCAGAAGACGGTCCTAATATTATATCAATTACCTATCCGTTTAAACTTTTCAGAAACACCCTTCACATATGGAACATATACAGAACACAGAGGTTTTTCCTCTTTCTTCGGATGACTACTGCCCTTGGAATTAATGACCGAGTCAATGAAGCCTTTGGGATAACCGTTCAACTGGAGATCGTGTCTCAGGTTCTTAATTTCTTTGACCAAATCTTGTCGATCTTGGCATATGGTGGAGGCTCTGTCGTGGAGACTTTTAATCATACCTCTTTTTACAAGTGGGGGATGGTTAGATTTGAAGTTGAGGTATTGGCCAGTGTGGGTGGGTTTCCTATAGACTTGTGTGACCAGTGCCGTCTCTTCCCTAATGACCAGAACGTCCAGAAAAGAGATCACATTGTCTGACTCAGTTTCCATAGTGAAGCAGATGGAAGGCCTTAAACTATCCAGGTGGTCGAAGAAATTCTGTAATCTCTCTGGACCATGGGGCCAGACCACAAAAGTGTCATCCACGTATCGTAGCCACAGCGATGGTTTGTACTGTGCTGAGTCAAGAGCTAGTTTTACAAAATGTTCCATGAAGATGTTGCTAATGATAGGCGAGAGAGAATTTCCCATAGCCATGCCATCTTTCTGTTGGAAGAACTTGTCGTCGACCTGAAAATAGGTGGTTCTCAAGCAGACTTCCAGCAGCTCCATGAAGGCTTCGACCTGCAAGACAGACCATTCCGTCAGTGTGACATTGTCGTGGAGCTTGTTTTCGATGATTTGTAGGACTTCGTCAACTGGTACATTAGTGAAGAGACTGACGACGTCAAAGCTAACGAGAGTATCTCGAGAGTGAAGGTTAACGGTCTTTAATAACTGTAAGAAGTGGCCCGAATTCTTAACGAAAGAGTCGGATTTACCAGCAGAAGGACTGAGTATCCTACGGAGAAAGCCGGCCAGTGCATAGCAAGGGGAACAAAACCCAATATCTCCATGTGTAATACATGGATAAAGTCCAAAAACTGAATATCTCCATGTGTTATACACCATTGTCAGAATCCTGTAGTAGATAAATCTTGGTTTAATAATTCTGCAATATGATTCACAAACTGATAATCCAGGAAGGGAACACTAAAAGATGTTTCTTCACAGTTGCTTCCATCTAGTGCTGAGGTCAAGAACATGTGAACATGTACCTCCTGTGAGCCTTCAGATCTCAGTGTACATTTACATTTATTTCCCATGTAAAGTTTGTTGACCTATGCCTGTGACAGCTTCTAGCCCTTTGCTAATGGAACACAGTATATTGGAATTCTCTTGAAATGTTTAGAAGGAACCAGCTTATAATATTTCTTAATGAGAAATTCTTGATAGAAGAAGTATATAATTATGATCTTAAGTACTTGTATATTCTTACTACACGTAGTTCAAGAAAATTGTTTGGTAAGCAATCCATAATTATGTCATAAGTATTATTAATGTTGTCACATGATTGAGTGACTATAGACAGGATTCGGATTGGTAACTGGATTTATTGAAAGCTTCCAGATTGTAACTACAAGCAACTATAGTGGTATCACTAATTCACACACTCTACAATACACTACAGCACACACTAAGTCGGGCATGCCATAGCGTAGTTGATTGAGGCACTATGCTACAAGCTGGAATGTCACAAGTTTGATCCCTGATGAGGTCATTGGATTTTTCCAATTTATCTAATCCTTCCCACCACACTATGATCCTGGGGTTGACTCAGCCTCTAACAGAGATGAGTACAGGAATTTTCCTGGGGGATAAAGGGTGGCTGGTGCATAGGGCTGCCATCTGTGAGCCGATTGTCTAGAAGATGTGGGAGCCTTGACGTCCCACTATCCTATGGGCTTCCATGGCCTGTTACAGGGATAGCTTTACACACTAAGTCTTTTCAGTCTGCCTGTGTCTTCACCAGTCACTGCCTGGTAACAGCTTATAGTGGTGGATATTCCCCTTATTCTGGGTTCCAGAACTATCCCCCTGTCTCAGCTACTAGCTTCTAACAGCTACAGCCTGAACTGCAGTTCTCTGACTAGCTCACCAACCAACTATTCACTTCCCTGCACTTCATTCACTCACTCTCTTAATTATCCTGGTTATAACTTCTTGGCACAGACCACACAGAAACACCATTCCTCTGTTGCTGTTCAATTGTTGCTTGTTATGAATCTGTTGCCTAGCAGCAGGCATTGTTTACAGAGTCATTACTTAGCAACGGATCTGCATGCTACAATATTAGTAATAAAGTGAGATAATAAAAACTGAATACAATTGAATAAGTGTGAAATTTTAGAAATCTTCTGGTTGTGTCAGACCGAAATGACTGCAAAATCTAGCTGTTTTCTTTTTTCATGGTACTGAAGGCAAGAAGTTTGCATTATGACTTAGTGCTGAATGGTTGTGAAGTTGGTGGAGGCTCTATTCGTATTCATGATCCAGTTCTGCAGCTGTACGTGCTAAAGGACATACTTGATATAGATCCCAGTTCTCTGCAACATCTACTGGATGCACTACATAGTGGCTGTCCACCACATGGTGGTATTGCACTGGGTAAGTAGTTCACATTTTACTGAATTAACATGAGTAGAACCATTTGAACCAGTTGTAGTTCCTGAAATAGGTGGTTTTATTTTCTTCCTATTTCATTATCACTTCAGTATGAAAACAAATAGTTATTATAAGTGGGTCCTCTGGAATGTTCTGTTAGTTGAGTCATTAGATGAAAGAATGTATAAGCTATACATTTTGGTGACAGTTAGTGGTGAAATTAATTCTGTGGAGATGAGTCCTTGAAAAGCTGATGGGTGCTTAGCTGGTCAAAAATTTCCCCACTTTTATGCTACTCCAAAGGTTCATATCCATATTCATAAGAACTGCCACTTTGGTCTCTATCCAGAGACAGTTGAATGAAGTTTTCAAACTCATATCCTAGTTCCTTAAGATTCATTTTAATGTATCCTTCTGTCTACTGCCAACTCCCACAGATAGCCCCATCCCTTCAGGTTTACCAACTAAAATTTTATATACATTTTTCTTTTCACATATTTATGATACCTGCCTTACCCATGTCATTCTCCTCAGACTGTTGTGAACATGAAATTGAACTCTTGGAATCCATAATGTGAAAAATTTCATGGCCAGCAAAGTGATCATTGGCTTATCAAGAAGAACTATATTGCATGGAATTCGCTACAATCTTTTATCTGTATGTCAAAGGCCAAATATTGTAAATGCTACCTCCTTTCTCAGTTACTCAAAAATTTATAGATTGTTTTGTCCTTATGTAAGAAGCAACAGTGTTCAAGTTTAGGACCCTGTTCCCGGGTACTATTTCATAATCTGAAGTAATGTTAGACATTAAAATATGTACTTTGTTTCAGGTATTGACAGGCTTATAGCATTGTTATGTGGTTCTGATAGTATACGTGATGTAATCGCTTTCCCAAAGAGTTTGGAAGGTAAAGACCTCATGTCAGGTGCTCCTGTTTCAATCTCAGATGAAGAGAAAGCCCTCTATCACATCCAGACTGTACATTCAGCACCAATGGAACAGGACACAAGTACCAGTGCATTGGTCTGTGCACCATAAAGGGGTGTGATTATGAATTTTAGAAGCAATATAAAACAGGTATTTACTGGAAAAAGACAGTTGAGATATGCTTACCTGATAGGTAAGTAACATTCATTCCTGATTATGGAATAGCTCTTAAATAATGGATAATGTGTGGTTATTCTCATATTAATTTCTAGTACCCAGTAGGTACAATTTCTTAAGTTAAAGATATGGTATTGCCCTTCTTTTCAATCTGAATGTCTGTTGACTGAAAAAGGCTGTAATATGTGACAAAATCCTTTATTTTGAAGGAGAATAATAAAGAGTTTATTACATCTGAATGACACCTAAAATACACGATGTGCAGTCTGTATTGTCAGCAGTCATGACTATAAGAATGTTGAATATCTACAAGTTTATCTAGCACAAACCACATTTATTTTTGAAATTGGAAGAAGAAACAGTTACAAATTTTAGGCTTTCGCAGCATTTTGTTAGTTACAGTGAATCAATTTTTGTGTGATAGCACTGTGCAGAAGTGGTCTATGTTGCCAACATTTTGGAAGAACTTTTCAGCCTGTATCTTTCTGAAGATGGGGACAAAACTGTCACACAAAACAGGATCAGTATGAACAAAGAATTCTTTTATATAGTAACTATGAAGAAAGAATTCTTTTGCTTAGTAAATGGATTTTATGAAAGGTGTTTGCAGCTTGATTAATGACCTCATCCGAAACTGGACCAGTGCCAAAAATTTAAATTTGTTTATATTGCTGGTTATTTAAGGAAAGATTTGCTGTGTATTCAAACATACTGTACTTAGAAAAGCATTGCGGTCAACACAGTGGGGAGACCAGAGAACCAGATTTATTTGTCATTTGTATATGCATAATCATAAAACTTTGATAAAGTTTCGTAAGTAAAATATTTGCATGTAACTACAGTCTAAGCAGAAGAGTGGATGGGCAGGAGGGCAAAAAGCTTTTTCTGAAAACTAGAAATATTGGGTATGTTTGGAATTTTGAGTGTCAGATTTGTTTTACGATAATAATCTGTTTAAAAAAGATTAAATGCACTGCTCTTCCTCCCAAAGTAACCAGTCATTAAACTCCGTTTTCTGCATTGCTGTATCACACTGGGTGACTAATAGTTACTTGTTCTGTTTTCTGCCTTGGATGCTTCCTCTTAATCCTTTAAAGATTATCATAGAGAAAGAGAATGCTGAGTCCTCAGAAAGTAATGTAAAACTATTTGAAGGAAAAATTATATGTTCTTTTGACAGTAATAAAGAGATGGGACAAACTGGTTTTTCTGAAATTTAATTTTTCTAGGTTACCTGTTTGAAGTGATGTGCAGTTATGTGAGTTAATTAAAAGTAACTATGGTAGGGGGTGTCAGTCTTGTAGAGTGGAAGACATTTAATTCTAAAACCATACAGCAGATATTTGTATTAAACCTGTTTCATTTCAGGAAGAAAATACCCATTAATCACCATAGTGTTTCACAGCAGAACATGTAAAAAGCTAAGAAATTTAAAACTATTATGATGATTCCAGACAGCTGCTTAAAATATGTAAAAGCTAAAAACATAGGGCAAATTCAACTTTGGGGGTTGTCATTGAAAATGGTGTTTCATTCACACACGATGTTTGTTTGCTGTCAAGATATATGCAATATGGAGAAGTTCATTCCTTCATTTGCAGCTTTATTACCATCTGTGCATAGAGCAAGATGCCAGCTGGTGTTCATAAGAAAGTTGACCACTATTGCACAATCAAAAGTTGAGGTTTTATCCATGCTAGAAAAATGTTATCAGTAGAACTGCTTTTCTTTCCTTATAGCACAACAGGTGCTGAAAGTGGTGCCCAATACTGATGAACTGTACTTACACAGTGAGAAATTCTGTGACACATGTTGAAGTAGGATAATATTCCATATTTCAGTCCTTAGGCCTAAAATTGCATTGGTTATTTCTGTACAATTTCTATTTCAAATTTCCCTAAAGTAGAAACCACACATTTTCTCATCCTGGAATGTGACAGCCATTTTTTTTTATTGCTAGTGGGGTGGGACTAAGTCTCTTGTACTGCGGCCACTTCTGGCCTATTGTACCAGCCCCAGATGATAGGTGAGGGTGATTGTGCAGCAATTGGTGGAATGAAGATTGGCAGGGGAAACCGAAGTACTCAGAGAAAACGTGCCCCAATGCCACTTTGTCCACCACAAATCCAACTTGATCAGACCCGGGATCGAACCCGGGCCACTGCAGTGGGAAGCCAGCAACTAACCGCTTGAGCTATGGCGTGGCCGTGTGACAGCCATAGTACTCTGCTGAGTACACAATTCAACGAATGTTTTCCTTCTTAGTTGAAAGAAGCTGCACTTTGTTGAATGTTACTCCAGATTTCCAAATGGAACCTTTTCGGTTTTTTTTTTTTTAATTATGTATTTGTTCATGATTCATTATAAGTGAAATTTTGTGGTTGGAGACATTTTGTTAATTGAGGTATTTTTCATCATAACAGGGATTTTCTTGCAATCCCACACATAATAGCGTCATCATAAGTGTATGGGAGACCACCATTCTTAAAGATGTGTTGTGTTGCTGACTGTAGTTGCTAATATCATCTGTAATGGGCATGTTTTCAGTCTTCAGCTAAGGACTGTGATTTACACATTTCAAACTTTACTGAGAGTTCTTTGTTTTAGTGTGTCACACTGGTGTGTAAATAACAGCTATATGCTTTCCTACATTGGTGGTCACTTCACTCTTGAGGCACAAAAGAGAACAAAAATGCCTATGTTAAAGGATGCAATATTGGTGACCAGGACAGACATTGGTATTCTTGTATTTGTTATTCAGCAGGTACTGTGAATCTCAGGGCCTGGCTTGATGGAAAACAGCATGCTGTGCCATTTGCTGTACCCATGGTTTGGAGAGAACCAAAAGATAATTCCTCTTAACTGCTGCAGTGGCACACAGTGAGATCATGTTGCAGAATATGAATAACCAAATATATGGGGGGGGGACATTTAATAAAATAGGCTAAATTAAATGAACTTATACAAGACTTAAATCTATCAAAGAATGAAGCAGAGCTTGTTTGGTTCCAGGTTATAAGAATGGAATCTTCTGGGGGGGATGCTCCATTTTTGGTAAATGTGGAAAAGAACATGCAAGTTCCTTTTTTTTTATGAATTGTGATACATACTACTCCAGCAGTGTTGATGAACTGATGAAGGCACTAGGGGAAAAGCATAAGCCTTAGGATTGGTGATTGTTCATTGATTCTTTGAAGTTGTCTCAAGGTTCTTCACAATGGAAATGATTACCATCAGTACCTGTTGGCAGTGCTGTGCACATGAAAGTTGTGAAAATAGTAAATTTATGCTCAGTTGCATGCAATTTACTTGTAATAAGGAATGTTGGAATATTTATGGAAATTTAAAAGTCATTTGGAGCATTGCTTTGTATGGGGCTGAAACTTGGACACTTAGGGCAGTAGATCAGAAACACCTGGAAAGCTTCAAAATGTGGTGTTGGAGAAGGATGGAGAAGATCAGTTGGACCGATTATGTGAGAAATAAAGAAGTGTTATTTAGAGTCAGTGAGCAGAGGAACATCCTACACGAAATATGAAAACAGAAGGCTAATTGGATTGGTCATATCTTATGCGGTAACTGCCTTCTAAAAGAAATTATTGAAGGAAAGAGCGGGGCGGATAGAAGTGACCAGAAGACGTAAGAAGATGCTGGATGACCTTGGGGACAGAAGAGGATATTTTCATTTGAAGGAGAAAGCTCTAGATCGCATCAAGTGGAGGAACTGTTTTGGAAGAGACTGTGGACCTTGACATATTACTGATGATGAGCTCTTCTACTTTGGATACAGCTTGGTCATACAGAATGTTGCTGCTGCTTATTTGAATGGGATAGTGTTACAAGAAGCAGTCACTGTGCTGTGAGAGACTGACAGTCATAAACAGATTCTTTCTGGCCAGAAAAACATTGCAAATGACCCATATGTACATCCACAGAAAGTGATTCTACCTCTATATCAAACTTGGATTTACCAAACTTAGATTTATGCCCTTTAATACAATTTTTACTGATTGCATTCGAGTATTCAGGATAGAAGAATAACTTGCAAGCACTTCTAATGTGTTTTATTAATATTTTTTATTTATTAATTTTTTGTTGTTTTTGTGTCAACACAGTTTTTATATAGATAGATATACTATATATTAAAAGTTTAAGTCAGCCATTTGGCCCTCATCAACTACTGTACATGTATATATCTGCTCTTTCCCTAGATTGACAAACATGGGTATATTTTGCTGTTGGTCATTTTACATACTAGTGTGATGCTCTTGTACTTGTCTTAATTACATTACTGAAATATTAAAATGTCAGATGTGGTTATAATGTATCTTGTTAGTTAAAATGCCATAATTGTGATCACCAAATATAAAATTGTTGAATTGGTTGTGGTCTTTTTGTGCCACGTAGCGCAGCTTGCTGTTGTTTTATCATTGTGGGTTTTGTATTGGAGTCCTTTTGGGTATGAGCTTATGAGTGATGGGCATTATGATATTCTTTACAATATAGGCTCCACCAAATGCTAAGAATGACAAGGTCTGGTTAGTGAAATTAGCAGCCTGAGATATTATCTTCAGCTCAGTGGTTATCCCCAACGTTTCATTGACACAGTCATCAATTCCAAGGGAAGCACTTGTCCAAACAAAAAGGAAAATCTTCTCGGCTCTGTGTATATTCCATATTTGAAGGGCGTATGAGAGAAGATGAAACATATAGGGAAATTATATAACATTAGGACAATCGTCGGAAGTAAACAATCTTGTAGGAGCTTGCTCATGAAGACGAGGCCAGAAGGAGATCCACGACAGACAGCACAATTTATTTATAGCATACCCTGTGAATGCAGCAGAATCTACATTGGCAAAACAAGCAGACCTCTAGCTGTGCGGCTCCATGAACATAGGCACATTCTCAAAGAGGGTCTTCTAGAAAAATCAAAGTTAGCCCAACATGCCTACGAGAGGGTCATAGGGTAGGCTGGGATGAAGCTAGGATTTTGGAAATTGAAAGTCACACAAGGTATAGGAAATACAAGGAATCAGCCCATATGGCATGCCCAACCAACCCAGTTTGGATATTTCTATCTGGATCCCCCTTATCAGCAATGAGATTACCACCTCAGAAAAGATATGTATGACATGACAGATTCTTCATGGGTTTCTATTAGGTCTTAGTCTCCAGTGTTCAGGTTTTACTCCACAAATAGTACTAGTGATAGACACTATATTTTCACAAATTCTCCATTTAATTCTATGCATTGATTTTCATGGACTTGGTTTGTAGCATAAATTTCTACCTCCCTTTCTATCCTAGTTCCAGGAATGTATGTGCTTTATCACAATTTTTATTGCATATTTTCCTGTTATCTCCCTTTGACATAGCCTGGTCTCGGGTATTAAAATGGGTGTAGTGAATCTAACATGGGTTGTCCACCTAATTAAAAATACCAACCTCCTTTTGTCAAAAAGGATGTACAAGGAGGAAAACAAATATGTAGTCTTGGTCCCTAATGTGGCCCAATACCACTAGTCACTGTGCTGGCTCTTTGCCAGCAGCAAGCTTCTGGATCTACATGGGTTAGCGCTTTCTGAAGGATTTAACATAGTGTCTCTCCCCTCACCTGAAGACAGACAGTCCACACTTAGCCCCCAGTGGTTTCTGCTTGCTTGGACCATTGAAGGAGCACCTCGGAGGGCAGAAATATGAATCATAACAAACTCAAGCAGTGTCCTGGACTAGCTACTCAGTCAGGCTATATCTTTCTATGTTGCTGGCATCAGTGCCTTACCATGGCAGTGGAAAAGATATCTGTGTAGAGACAATACCTAGAAAAGGAGTAGCAGATTGGTTATTCTGGCACATATGAAATTTTGTAAAAAAAAAAAAAAAAAAATGTGTGTCCAGGTCTACCCTGAACCACCGTCATGTGTCTCCATTTGAAGAGGTACAGATAATGTCTCCAACTATCTTCTAAGTTCTGTTGAATCCAAAAAACAAATGTATTTGTGGCAGTGTATGCCATACAAAATAGGGCGACAATCTGACATTATTTTAAACATAAAAAATTGCATGGTGGTTGGTGTTGCTGTTTAATTGAAAGATGTAAGTTTGGTGTTGTATATATCTTCATATGTCATAATACTGCATTTGAGATTACGTATTAGAGCTCAAGGCAAATGACGCAAAGCATAACCATTTCTGATTATTTGTGCAGAATTATCTCACAGTTGTCCACCAAAGCCTAGCAGGAAACATACCACATAAACAAAGAGCTGTGATGAGAAATACTAACTTGCCAACAAATAAACATAATCCATATATGCCTCATGCATAACCTTTTTGAATGAAGTACTGTAGCAAGCATTACAAAAAAATGTAGTGGATGGTCAAGTTTTTATTCATAATAAAATTGTTACTGTACTTAAAAAAACATTCTGAACACATACATGGGTATAAAATGAATGTCACTATTCTGTACAGCTAAACACATTGGCTACCTGTCTATGACTACTATTTGTATCATGAAACTACTTATAAAAAAGCAGCTTCATACAGTTTACATATCACAATAAAATACTGACATTGCATGTGTCACTAGCTTAAAAGTGAATAACCAGCAGCACTTGCTATCAAATGGGTGCTCATCTTACATTAACAAGACACATTAAAATATAATTCGTTATTTCAAAATACTTTGTGCAGAGTTGCTGCTTACAAAAAAACTCTGTGGCCTGTAGTCCACAAGCAAACTACTGCTTACATGTTGTGGAATTCTCCAAGTTACTAGAGCTGATTCTTCACTTCACAGAATACTATGGCCAAAGGGTAACATTACAGAACCAGATAATGTGACATGTGACAGTAATTTACAATTCTCTGTTACTTTCTTTTAGTGATTTCCAGCTTAAAATACATAAAGTGCAAACTAGGAAGGAAAATGTCAACAGATTTTATAAAAAGTAGGAAATATAATGGAAACAAAACAAGAAATGTCATTAATATCTGGGTCTCGCCAAGTGCGTACACATAGGCAAATGAATCTAAGCAAGCTATAGGTGTTCAATGTCAATCTGAAATGTTAGCTAACACTGCACTTCAGCATTCCTAAATAAAATGTAGATAGTGAGGCTAGCCTGAGCTAAAACCAGGGTGATTCTGTGTAGGTAATAATTTCACTGCATAATGGTGTCATATTTAACAAGTGAACCTACATTTAAAACACTAAACGGATGGACTGGTGCTACAAAGAACAGCCTGTGGTTTGATTATCAGAATTCTATGTTTCTGAGAATACACATGCACTGTTGCACGCACAATACTCTTTGTCCCAAGCATCCACACACACAGTTTAACAAACCAACTTATGACCTCTGAGATCAATGCAATGACCCCACTCTTGTGGTATGAAGTAAATGCAACTGTGCAGTAAATACACTTTCACAAAGACACTAACCACACAATAATATTACACATGTATACACCAGCCACACATCACCATGCTTAAGATTCCATATGTTCCCTTCACTTTAATGAAATGCATCAATATAATGATTTTAATTATACCAAACAGATGTAGATTATTATATATACACACACACGTTAATGAAAAATGAATCTAGACTCACCATCAGACTAACTGTGGGGTACACAAGAAGTTTTCATTTCAGACAATAAGATAACCATGAAAATAACTACTTAAACAGTACTAGGCACTATTTAAGAAGGTCTGTTACAATAGATTTAACATAATCCACTAGATAGTCCCAGCTTCATGAATGATGGATTTAAAAATATTCTGATAAACGAGAAAATGCAATATGTTAACATTTTTAAGGAATTTCTTAATTTTGCTTGTCTGTTCCAATTTCAACACAGTGGAAGCAAACATTTCAATGGATGGGATGTTGGGTCACAGTATTGAAAAGACCAACAAACATGAATTTCAGTTAAGAATGTGGAAATATTTGGGAGTACCCTGTGGGTAACTGCTATACTTTATCACCCTACAAACTCACCAGAATTATCTGTAAACACCACAGGTGATATTTTCCTCACTTGGGTTGAAGTCATACCTGCGTATACTTTTTCCCCTTCATGTACCGATACCGAGACGTCACCTAGCAGTTTTCTGTGAAAGTGTTTATTCTGAGATAACAGATAGGTCTTTCCTTAGTAATACTTCTGTTGACAATGAACTTTTTTCCTTGTTACTTAAAAAAAATTACAGTAAGTATACAGGGTTTGTCCGAAAAGTAATGTCAGTGAGTCGATTAAAAAACTTTTATGGATTAGATCGGTGCAACACATTAAAAGGCTTCAAAATAGGCTTCTTCTGCGTCGATACATCGATTCCAGCGAGATTTCTAGGCATCGAAGGCGTCATGGTAGGCCTCCTCCGGAATGTCCTTTAGAGCCTTGGTGCAAGCCTCTTTGACTTCGCCAACTGTCCCAAAATGATGTCCTTTCATGAGAGTTTTCAAGCGCGGAAACAAAAAGAAGTCTGGGGAGCCACGTCAGGACTGTAGGGCGGCTGGGGAACCGTTGGCACCTTTGAATTGGTCAGGAAGCGGGTCACGAGGAAGGCGGTGTGGGCTGGCGCATTGTCATGGTGAAGTTTCCAATCGTCCGCGATGTCGGGCCGGATGAGACAAACACTTCGTTTGAGTCTCTTTAGCACTTCCATGTAGAATTTGGCGTTGATGGTTGTACCATGTAGTACAAACTCACATTTTCGTCGGTGGTGCTTGTTGATGGCCGTCCAGCGCGGGCTTCATCGTCGACCTCTTCACGGCCTTCTAAAAAGGCCCTGTGCCACCGGTAGACCTGACATTCCGACAAACAATCATCACCGAAGGCCGTCTTTATCATGGGAAAAGTTTCCACTGCAGACTTGCCAAGTTTCACACAAAACATGATGGCAATCCTTTGTTCCAAGGAGCGCTGCATTGCGGCTTGCACGGGAGACAAAAACGAGTTTCACGGAAAAGCCTTTCGTCACTCTCAGGAAGTTCGGAGACGACTAAGCGACCGCGGGTTCATAAGCTGACTTCCCCCTCCACCGATCCCAACCGGTCTGAGAGTGCTGCGACATATAGTCACTTCACAATAAAATAACTGACATTACTTTTCGGACAAACCCTGTATAAATAGTTTTCATCATCTGCTGCATAAACCTCTCAGGAGTTTCTCTATAAACCCAGCTCAACTGAGAAGTTGTAACATTGACTGTGTTTTAGTTCAAGTAGTTTACAGAATGTATGAGCAATCATAAATACTGCAGCACAATTGACCAGTACTATTTGGTAATAAAGAGAGGGCAGAAAATATGAATAAAGACATGGACCATATGCATGCTGCATGACTTGATTAAAAAATTCAGTTCCATACCGAACTAATATTTGTTATTTTATACAAAACTGTATTAATGCATACAATCCTTCAATTAAGAGTGTGTGTTTTCCAGCAGTATGTTGATATGCATGCGTGTCTTTCTACAGCTAATGACCATTTTCAAAATTAAACATAAAAAAATAACACCAATATCGACTTCCAAATATGTTGCAAGCTTATACCCCCTCTGAATTTATAATTGGTGGGGAAAAAAGCCTACTAATTTTCTGACATTTATATGCATATCATTATTCTCTTGGTTTATTAAAGATATTCACACACTGAATTCATGTGTTGTCAAAGTGTCTCAGATGTTTTCTATGGTCTCAATAATATCCATCACAACAAGGCTCAAAGAAATATAATGAAACACTGTTCAAGATTTTGGTGTTGTTTCAGGTAAAGTAACAGTCAATCTGAAAAATTCAATATGCATGACTTCAGCCTACAAAAATCAGTTACACTGAAAGCACAAGTGAGTGTTACTTCTGGATCAGGAGGAAGTACAGAACACTTTAAGCTATGTTCATGCCATAAAAATTTGAACTTAGGGAACATTTAAGCATTTTGTTAAATCTGCACATAATTCAACATATTACAGGTTTAAGTTGGTGTAAGGCTCATTCATAATATAATGGAGACAGTGATTTTGACACATCAGTTGTGCTGAATTACCAGAAATTTATATTAAGCTACCCTGTCTGAGGCAATATAGGCAGTTTGACTGATGATTCAAGATTGAACTGGAAATTATCACAGTACCATTCCACTCATATAAGCAAACCGAAAGGTAAGAGAAATCTAGATTCAATCCAGCAGTCTTTCATATGTAAATTATTCCATTTCATATGTCTATCCCAGAATACTGAATATTATTTTCACGGAACAAAGATGCCTGAAACCTTACGCAAGCATTCTGACATTACAGGCTTTTTAACATCTACAAGATACCATTTCTGCAGACTAAATTTTTCACTACTAATAATTCTTAAGATAAGAGAATTATGAATATTACTGGATAAAACTGCTGCTATTAGAGCCCTTTTCCATGTTATCATGCAATCTACAACAAAATGTATTGTTTTTAAATAAGCTACATATTATATTAAATCAAGGAACTGCTGTGCACTTGGGCATAATGTTCAGGGCACCATTTGTGCATCATGAATGTACTTTTGCAGAAATGAACAGATGCATATTGATACAATGGATGAGAGGTAAATGTTGCTGGGACCTGTGAAGTGATGCAGAAACAATGACAGGACAGACTGCAACATTTCAATGAAGACCAGTCATTCTGACAAATGAATGCTACCGTCTTGAAAGCTGGAAAACATTTTTATTATATCCTAACATCGTCAGAAAGTGACAAAAGAATGTTATAAAGGGCATCTTGAACATTACACTCTCTTAATATATGAAAAAGTAAAAACCAAGTGTAACTGTTATATTTTTATATATTAAGAGTGTAAAATTCAAGATGCCCTTTACAAAATGTGAAGCTATCAAGGCAGAATTCTACAATGAAACAGTTACGCTTGATAGATTTTTCTTTCCCTTATATATATATATATATATAAAATTATTTTTGATCCTACAACCAAGGAAAATGACACATGATGTAAAAAGTCCATGAAAGCTGAAATTAATACTGGATATAAATTTTATATGGGACTGGAAATAAATGTAGCCATGTTATATGGATCAGTGATACTGATGCTTGTCAGTCTTCTAACAATTCAATTTTCATTTCTATTTTAAAGATCAATGATCTCTATTAACTTTCCAATTTGGAATACTTTGTTGTCAGACTCCACATCCACCAAAGTCTGCAATCAAAAGTGCATGGAAAGCAACCCCCAACCACTAAAAGGAGATTAATTTTATAAATGTTCCAACTTACTGCATATTAACTGGGACTAGGCACCCCACAATAATGATTGCAGCTTTCAGTCAATAACACAGAGACAATAGAGCTGTGAATTAACCAACAGCATCTCAATTACAAATCTGAATAGATAAACAACACATAGTACATTACAATTTTCATATCAAATACAGTTATTAATTGCTTACTGTGAACAATTTTACAAGTTGAGCAGGATAATTATTTGCTTTGTGAACAGTACACAGTGACTGAGAAAAAGATATTTCACTTTTGTGCATGTTAACACACATAAAACATTCAAACCACCACTCATATTAATATATACACCACATACTCACTTGAATATGTTTTAACAGGTACATATTTCTTGGATTGCACCGAAAAAGTTGCGTCCATAGGGGAAATTGCATATGTAACTCATTAACTCCACAGTGCAGTATTCCACAGATCCATTACCTGAATGTCTAAATAGGATTAATCACTAATGCAAATTACAGAATAACCCTGGATTTAATGACCATTTACAACCGAAAAACATTTAATGAAATGTCTGACTGTCAAAAATATCTTGAAGACTGATAAATGCAAATTTCACAAATAAAAAAATGGTGCTCTTGCCATACTAAAAGGAAGATTTCCTTTTATAAGTTTAACTCAGAGCACCCTGAATTTGAGCACAGCATAATTATTTCAAAATGTGCTTTTCGGAAAATTTATTTCAAGCATTTTCATCTACAGTTGGAAGCCAAAATGCCATATTGGTACATGCTGATGCAAGCATCATATACTTTGGATTAAACTGAACACACTGCACAGGTGCAGGATGGTCAGCATTGAGGACACACACTTTGTAGCCTGTGTCAGCATTCCATACATGAACTCGTCCATCTGTAGAGCCACTAAAAACAAACTGTGAATCAGGACTGTATGAAGCCTCAATAGGGATCCCCTTGTTATTGAGATGACCAGTAAATGTCTGCATTGGAGTTCCATGGAAAGCATCAATAAGCCGAATAATGGAGCCATTGGTTGAAATTAGGATAGTCTTCCCATCCCGACTGAACTTCAAACCTGTCCAATCACACTCCTTTTCTTGACTCAACTTGAATGTTACAAATGGACCCTTGTCAAATGATCTTAAATCATACAGCTTAATACTTTCTGAATTAACACCAGCTGCAAATATAAGCCCTTCTGGGTCATATGCTGCAACAGGACGACCTGATAGATGCATAAGTCCTTGACAGTTTGGAGACCTCAAATCCCACAATCTCAGGGTCTTATCCAGTGATCCAGAAAGAAAAGTATCTTCAACCGGAGAAATACAAAGTGATACGACTTTCTTCGTATGTCCGGGGAAATATCTGATGTATTTGTTATCATGGAGGGATAAGTATCGTATTGTATCATCTACTTTCGTGGAACTGTGAATAGCAGTATTTTTCGCATGGGTGAAGTGGATGTGGTCCACTCCATACTTTTTACTGTTAACAGTTCTCATCTGGGTTCCCTTCTCACAGTCGTAAATAACAATTTGATCATCTTCGCTGCAAGAAATCAATGTGTCACCGCTAGGCGAGAAGTCAATGCTGTTAATCTTATCGGTGTTCTCCCGAAACACCTTAGCAACTTTAAAACTTCGAACTACGTGATCAACCAACTTCATTTTAGAGTTGGGATTATATTAGCAAGGTCTCCGAATGTATTACTACTACTTCGTCAAGTCTCTTCTCTGCTATGCACGCTCTGGGAAACAAAGAACAAACGCCGATCAGCGAACAGCACCATTCACAAAAGGCAGAAACATTCCGTTCTATGCTGTACTATATTCGCGTGCATTCCTAGATACAGGGTTTCGATCACCAGCTTTGCCAGAACAACATATAATCTGGCAAATGCTAAACCTCTTTTACTCTATCTGTACCAGTTACAGGCCCCTTCCAACACCAACAACCAGCAGCATACACGACCGTCCACCGATTAACATTCTACGTACCACCGTTGGACTCGATCGTTAAACCTACACCATACATTTTCACAAATTCTCTGCATTCGTACCTATGTGTACGATTCTCTGAGGACCAGAGAGCGAACGACACTGAAATCGCCAAGGATGTTTGACGCTTTAGACGCATATCACACCCCCTTTCAGTCCATTTACACAATGGGCCACTAGAGTGCAGGCAAAGTAGCAATTATTACGGGAAAACGTTCTACAATTAGATCAATTCAAAACCCTGAGGAATTCCTACTATTTGCGCAATGCTCGTCCATCCCTCAGTACGCATGACACAAAACGAAAACCGCAAAACTGTATTTAATTAAATGTTATGAAGTTTTAATAAAGGGTAGACGTGTTCTTATTTTGAATAAAAATTGGACAAAGCCATCATAACAGGAGATCTCAACTCACAGGTCGATAAGTCAAATAAAATGGCCGATAAAGTTGTTAGGTTCCTTTATAATAAGAGTTTTGATCTGGTGAATAAAGCTACTGGACGCAAAAACGTAATAACTTGCTGCTTTTTCCATCTTGGGTTCAAAAAACTTTTCAGCATCCTGTTCTCAGACACCTTCAGTCTATTCAGTAAGTCGTCCTTACTGGTAGAGACTAAATTTAAGAATTACGCAAAACAATACTACATAGACTTTTGTATTCTAATATTTATGTTTTCGAACGGCAGATGGGAAGACAAAATATGCTGAAATGAATGGTAACAAGTTAACCCGCCTTTGTAATATCAGCTCAGTCGGAATGGTGTTATCCCTGCTACACTTGGTTGCACCTTAGGATGGTATATGATGACCACTGCAAGTTGTCCGCACAACTCGAACTAAGGAAGGTTGCTATAGGTACGGGAAACTAGTTCGGTCGGTTAGCACGAGACTCACGGTAGCAACGTCGAATTAAGCGGTATTCTGGGAGTTGATCCGGCTTCGTGTGATTCACTTATTGTTCTCCAAACCACACTGCTTAATTGATTGTAAGTCAATGCTTACAATTACAATTTACTAGTTGATATGCAAACTAGGGCTCGGAGTGTGCAAGGGCCACGTCCGTACACTTCAGAATATTGTGAAAGACTACACTGTGGAGATGGCTTGCACAGCCCACGCTGGGAATTGGAAAAAAAAAATAAAATTCTCCATCGTATGGACATGTACATGCCATTTCATCTCCCGTAGGGAAGTTTGAACGAGGCAACTAAATCATAATGGCCCTTGAGTGATCCTCATTCGCAGGCAATTACAACGCGTTTTGACCTGGCTATTTCGCTGATTTTTGTAGATGCGTCTGGTTTCTTGTACCCAAGCTAAATTAATGACTGATTGTAAATATCAGAGCTCCAGGCTCCTTGGCCTTGCCAGAATCCAGAAATTTACACATAAAACACTCTATTGCACGTCCCGTTGTATTGAAAGGATGAGAAACGTATTCCCTGATATTACGGAAAGAATATAGCCTGAGGGTTTCTAAAAACATGGTGGTGAGCAAAGTGTATGGACCCAAAAGGAATGAAGTAAGAGTAGGCCAGAGAAAACTGCATGGTTATGAGATTTATGACTTATAATCCTCGCCCCCCCTCCAAAAAATGGTCAAAACAGGTTGGACGAGATTAGCAGGGCGTGTAGTACGCCTAGGAAGGATTTGGAATGCATGAAAGGATTTAGTGGGGAAAACGCAGGAAAAGAGATTACTAAGGAGCTCTAGAGGTAGATATGATTAAAATATTAAAATACAACTCTATGGGCCTTCAAGGCCTGGTACAGGATAGCTTTACTTTTTTTTAAGATATACATGTATAAGATAGTACTAGAAAGGACTGCATTAAACTGCCTCAAAACGGAGGCCATTTTGGGCTTTTTCTAGCACTGTTATGAGCCTTCGTGTTCCAGAATATCGTGGGACGGTAGGAATCTCAAAAAGGAGTTTATATTCATGGGATTAACTGGTTACTTAGTTATATCCGTGTTTACCAAAGTGAAACCGTTATTCCTCAGACATGTGAATACTGTTATATCTTGTCGACCTTCGTATCTGTTTGGTAAAGCCCATTTCGTCCAGGAACCTGGGTACATTACACCTAGCGTACAAACAAACATCATTTGTACTGGCAATTACGTCCGAATTTTCTATCGGTTACTGAATACCGGAACTACGTTAAAAATATCGTGACATAAAGGCTGAAAGACAGAATTCTGGAGCGAGAATAGATGGAAATTACTACGGAACGGTTTTGTGAACATGTCCCCACCGCAACTTATATACACAGCAATGGAAGAACAGTTGAGCACCGTGTTTTCGATGTGGTCCATGTGGCTGATATTAGAACTAGGAATCCTTCGGACCACATATATCACCCGTGTGGAGACTGTGTCGAATACCTCCAACGTTACCCTGCGAGTCATAGGAGGTGATGACAAGGGAAGTCTCAAATCTGAGACAGTAAAATATGGTCTCGAGTCTCTAGGGACTCGGACCCGAGAAAGACTGTGCTGGCAAGGGACAGTAGCATATATAAAAGACAAAACCCGTCCTCTCGTCAGAGGGGCCGCCCCACAAAAGCAAGACCGTAACTGTCAAACAGTAATAAATATCTAGACACACATGGTTTTCAAAATTCTGTGCGAATATGATTATACAAAAAATTATGCAGGCAACAAGTAGATGTCATCCAGAATCACCTAAATTCAAATGCACGAGTACATGGCATTGGAAAGGGAGAAGCCAAGCGTAAGAAGCATAAGGGGCTTAAACTTGGCGATGACCAGGCCTGCAACCATTCAAAGGATTACACGTATTTGCCGTTTCGGAGCGGTAAAATAAGTTACGGTATAAATCTCTGCAGAAGCCTGCATTGAAAAATGTTCTGTGTGTATCTTACATAAGTATTATTCATTATAGTAAGGCAATGAAGCGTGTATGATATCCAGGATGTGCGAATGTACCTGGGCGTTACTTTAGTGCTCTTACGTTCGCGCACAATTACGGTGCAACAAATGTGGCGCCTCCTCAGAAAGACACCCCTCTTCTCTTCGAAGAGTATACGACACTTACAAGCACAAAACGGCCCTTGAACGAATATAAATTATGTCATAGATCCTAACAGGACCCGAACACAAGAATGACTGTGTCGGTCAGGGCCTGCAGCAATTTAATGAATTGGATTGTCCATGAGTCCCGTAGAACTCAGAACCAAAAAATCACTGTGCTGTAGAAGGACGGCAGCAATTTGGCAGTCAGTCAATGAGGGAGAGGCCCTGAAGGCCCCCAGAGCAGTCAGACGGTAAAATATGGTCACGAGTTTCTTGAGACTCGGAACCAATTATCTCTGTGCTGGCGAAGGCCAGCATCAATTTAGTGGTGAGCCATTATATTGAGAGTGAGAGTGACAGTGTCAGCCAGCAGAGGGAGGGTGACCAGTAATCCTACCATTACACTCGTCGAACAGAGACCCAAATTCCAGAGCACGTAAGAGTAGGGAAAGAACAAAATTATGATCATGAGTCCCGACAGGACCGGAAACCAAGATTGACTGTCCTCGTCGACAGCCAGTCGGAGATCAGTGGCAGCAGTTAGCAGATAGACATGAGTTGTTAGTAGCCGACTAGCGATGACACAGAAGGATTTGCATTTGCATAGTCGTGGTGATCTACAGAGTGTAAATCAGCGATACCGTTGTACAATTGTTAGTTTTCGTTACGAGTTACGAGCGTCCAATAAATCCAATTATCATTCCAAATTCCCTGTCTAGTCACTAACACGTGAAACTATTATCCAGTGATTTATTAGCGATATCATAACGGTTACTAGCTGACAACGACGCACTCTCGTACCGCTCGTACCACTCGTACCCATAGCAGTGTGAGTATATTGAGCATATTGAGTATAGTTGACATAGTTTATGTGGTTGTTGCGGTTGTAGCCGTTGTAGCCTTCCAACGATCACAGATGATATGTGTCTTTCATCATAATCTGTATGTCACTGAAACCATTACGCATACTGTAAACGTGCAATTGGTAATCCATGACAAGAAGGAGAAAGGTGATGTATGAATAGAAGTAATAGTAGAAAATTAGCGTTTGTTTAGAGTTTGACGTTTCTTCGTGTAAGTATTTTAGGATTAGTGTTTGCTGTGTTAATTAGCGCTGCTGATTATGGATGACTGCTACATGTTTTCAGTCACAACACAAAATATGAAGTATTTAAATGTTCACAGTAATTAACCGCAATTTTCACGTGGTGTCGATCCATATGGAAAGATGTTATCCCATTTTCGCATTGGCAATTACATTTCTGATCTTTATTGCTTTTTAGACAATGCGTAGGATACATACAACACTATATAATATGGAAGAACAATGATACTGTCAACATAACAATATTTCAGTTACTACATTTAGATCTTTATTATTGCAACGTTTCGGTCATATGTGACCAACATCAGGTAGGAATACCAGTAGGTACTGAAATGCCGATACGGATCCATATAGATGCAACGCGTCGTATTGAATATTAACATAAAAGCTTTGCCTCAGATTGGAGTATAGTTAAAATAGCAAATACATGATTAAAAATATAAAACGGTAGAAATAAATTAAGATATAATATATATATATATGTTGGAATATTATTAAAAATATTAAAGGTATATTAGCAGTATATAAAGTATTATTAACAGGTATTAAAAATGTATATGTAGCTGGGTTAGGGGTCTGTATGGCAACTAAAATATTTTGTATAGTGGTCCAAGTCCAAGTCACATTGTGACTGATGGTCAGTCAGTCAGTCTGTCTGTCTTGGCATCAAGCCTCGGCTCAGGCTCATCACCAGATTTTTTTTTTCTTTCCTTATATGAAAGTTACTGTTCTGTCCATTTGGGGCGTCCTCTCTGACAAGGGGTCAGATCTGACATTTGTCAGCCGTAGTCCGTATTAGTAAGTACATTGTCAGTATTTACATATATTTACAAATTTAATCTTAATTCCTATTTCTAAGTACAATATATACAAGGCATCTGTCAATCCAGGTCTGTACAGCAGATTATGCCCTATTTCTAGTAGTATTCACCACCATGGCAGTCAAGTGAAGGAGTATTAAATGAGGAGGGCATGTAGCATGAATGGGGGGAGAAGAGGAATGCATATAGGATATTAGTGGGAAAGCAGGAAGAAAAGAGACCACTAGGAAGACCAAGACATAGATGGGTAGTTGATATTAAAGTGGAACTTAGAGAGAGAGGGTGGGATGGTGCGGATTGGATTGATCTTGCTTAGGATAGGGACCAGAGGAGGGCTCTTGTGAACATGGTACTGAACCTTTAGGTCGCATAAAATGCTGGGAACTTCTTGAGTAGCTGCACAATTGGCAGCTTCTCAAGAAGGGCTCAGCTCCATGGGTGAGTGAGTACATATGGTACTCATAAATAATTCTATTAGGTTGCTTGGGTCAGTAGTACACCTTGTAATTATACTGGCAGTTTTTCTGAATTAAGACAGTTTATTGTCTTTTGTTCTACCGAAGATTTTGTGTTATGGTTTTCCTTGATATTGTTTTATTGAAGCTGGCTGCAGCTGAATTGTAGCAACATAATATGTTTTGTAGGAATGGTTTTGCTTTTGTTTTTAATGGAGCTTTGAGTGTTATCAATTTGAGTTTTAGTGCCATAAAAAGTGAAATTTTTTTCCATGTCCTGTATTTATGAAGCAGTGATCGTAAAATGGAAGTCTTAAAATAAAGTAGGCCTGTATGTTCATAATATGCAATCAGCTATTTTTTAATTTGCTTGCTGCTGTTTTTTAATATTATATATTAACAAGGTAAAAGGTAAACTTGTTGCTGGACTTAGCTAATTGAGCACTACACCATGATGGCATGTGGGGGAGTGGATGTATAAATCCACATATTCTTGACCTCAGCACTAGTTGGAGGTGAGGGGTCAGCTTCATGCCCTGGCCACTTTACCACTGGAGAAAGAGCCCCTGGTATGAATTTGATATGAGGCTGGGTGCGCCACAGAGCTGGTCTGGACGATATGGAGAGGAGAAATCGTTTATTTGTAATGAATTCTCCTACACTGCTTTACTAGCCAAGTATAGAAGGGGAAGCTAGAGTAGTCTAGTATAACTGATTACATGTACAGGACTTTTGTCAGTACTGTACTAGAAAAATTAAAGTAGAAGTAAAGTGAAAGTAAAGCTGTCCCTGTAACAGGCTGTGAAGGCCCATAGGGCTGTGAGACATTGAGGGTCCCATATCATGTAGACAGTCGGCTCAAAGATGGCAGTAAGGTTGTCAGCCTTACGCGCCGGCCATGCTTTACTCTGCAGGAAAATTATTTATTTAATTCCTGGTACTCATTTCTGTTAGAGGCTGAGTCGACCCCAGGGCCATAGTGCGGCTGGAAGGATTAGGTCAAATGAAAAAAATCCAGTGACCTCATCAGGACTTGAACCCACAACCTTCTGGCTTGTAACATAGTGGCTCAACCAACTACACTACCGCGTGCCCCTAGAAAAATTAAAATATATAGGAATATTTTTACATTCTTCAGACAGTCTTAATTGGTGTTGGTTAGAGCTGCAGCAGTCTGCATGCTCACTCACCATGGGCAAGTTAAGGGGGACCAGTGGAGAGCACAAAGACTTATGTGTGAAACATATTGGAAGATTGCAGAGTGTTTGATTTGAGTAGTACTGTGATGCCCTTCAGAAATTTTATGTTTAATTTCATTTATGTTAGGTATGTATGATCTTAGTAAGCTTGAAATAAACAAATTTGATAAAGTTTTGTATTAGATGATACATATGGATGTTTACTGAAGAGTTGAAGTATGTGGCCAGTGTACTGCACGCATCTTTCATGAGGTGTGGCTAGAAAGTTCTAGGGATTACTATGTGAGTAGGATAAAATTCACCTTACCAATTAATTGCTGTTGTCCAGTTCAGGGTAATTCCTTTTGGCAGTTCTACACAAACTGCCACATTTGGAAGCATTCCTGGAACACATCTTTGCTTTTACTACATATCATGTATGCTGCTGGACCTCCTCTGGTGACCAAAAGTGGGTTCCTTTCAGCGAAATTTTTGTGACTAGCAATAGAAGGAAGTCACATGGAGTCAGATTGGGAAGCTAGGAAGGATGTATCTGTTGGCAGCTCTCAAATACTGAAATATAATGTTAGAGTTGGCAACATCATAGTAAACAATTTAAGAAGTAGGTTATTTCTTGTTACCTAAGTGATGTTTACTGTCATGTGTAACACCAGTATCTTTATATTGTTATGTGTTACTATGGTTATAAGCCTGTATGTGTATATAAGGCGTACTTGTGTATCAAATTTCAGTGTCTTAATAAAGCAGGAGTAGAGTGAACACTGATTCTCACTTATCATTCGATCCACGTGGAAGTAACAAAAATAACAGTATCATTAGAGTGACCTGTTTTTGCGTAAGAAATTGTCTCACTGACAGTGCAGTCTTCATTTCACTGTATATATGAGAAAGTTGCCACAACTTTTTAACATTTTCGTTAGGGTTTATTGTTGCTGATTGGCCCATTCAAGAATGATTATGTATGTCTTTTCTTGCTTCAGAAAATTATTTAAGTCGTTCAAAAAAACTTTTTCTTTTGACATTTCAGACTACCCATAAACTACTTCAACAATTTGTAACCAGAAACTTGAAATTAATGTGCTCTTCTAAAAAATTTTTACTCATGTATATGTTGTCGAAACACAGAGCATGTTAGTGTAATGTAATATAGTGAGCTGCACAGTAAATGCACGCTGTAGTCGTAGGAACACTTCCCAACCTTCAGTGACAGGTTTGAGGTGGGGACATGACAGCAGCTTTCCACTGAAACCATTCCCGGAATGTTCTGCTAACACCCTGCATTCGACAAACTATGGTGAAGGGAACTTTAATGCTGGAAATGCTGCTGTGTTAGCAACTTTTTGTTCATTTCTGCCATGAGACTACAGCCTCAGGAGAATATGAGAATAAAAATGATAAGATTTTGGCCCAGTGTATTTGACACAGTGTAGTCTGGTAGATAGATACCAACATTTTGGAGGAACCTGCTGTCTCCAGCTTCAGGGTAGGTTCCAAGCATCACTTACCAGATGACTGTAATTTTCATATTCACCATGGTAAGAACCACAGTTTCACAAATGAAGTATTAATATTTTTATGTCTTTTCAAAATTAGAAAACTGTTGGTCTTAGACATTTGTCTGTCAAACTCCATGCTTAATTAGTTAAGCACTGTGCCATGAAGACATATGGAGGGTGGAGGTATAGCCCGATCATTCTTCCATTTTTGACTTAATGCACTAGATGGAGATGAGTGGTTAGCTTCAAGCCCCTGCCACTTTACACCTCCCTCCCCCAGGGAAAGGTCCCCAGGTACTCACTGGATAGGGGGCTGGGTGGGCCCCAGAGCTGGTATGGATGCTGTGGGGAAGAGAACATTTTTATGGTGCTGGTAGGCAAACCTGGGCTGTGTAGCCTGTAGCCCATTGTTATACCAGCGTAGCTATCCCGACTCCTCTCTCAGAAATGAAGATTGACAAAGAGTACTGTTCGAAAATATGTGTATTTATGTAAGTAAAAAAGTAAAGCTGTCCCTGTATCAGGCCATGAAGGCCCATAGGGTTGTGAGATATTGAGGGTCCTACACTATCTAAACAATTGGCTCAAAGATGGCAGTAAGGTTGTCAGCCTTATGTGCTGGCCACACTTTACTCCCCAGGAAAATTATTTAATTAATTCTTGGTACTCATTTCTCTTAGAGGCTGAGTAAACCCCAGGGCCTAGTGTGGCTGGAAGGATTAGGTCAACTGAAAAAAATCCAGTGACCTCATCGGGACTTGAACCTGTGACCTTCCGGCTTGTAGCATAGGCCCTACCTTCTGTGGACTACATATTTGTATTTCTGTTTTATGATATCGTAATGCTGCTATGTATTTTGTTCGTGTGATTGTTTCAGATCTGTGAAGCCAAAATCATGAACACCTCACTGACTGCAAAGGAAGTTCGGAAAGCATTTATTGACTTCTTTATTCAAAAGCAACATGAATATGTGCATTCGTCATCAACAATACCACTTGATGATCCAACACTACTTTTTGCCAATGCTGGCATGAATCAGGTATAGGCTGAAATAAAAATAAGAACAGATGTGTAATATGTGAGATCTGAGGTGAAGATTACAGTCTTTTGGGATGTGACACTATTTAATATGGTAGATATGTACCAATGTTCTTGAGGAACTTGTTGGCTTCATCTTCAGGATAGAAAAGTAAACTACTTGGAAAACAGACGGTACAGAGACAGGGAGTGGAGGACAGGAACAGGGTCTATGGGTGAGGCAATGAGAGACATTTGAACTGAAACATTTTTTTATGTGGAAAAAAGGTGGCAAAAAATATGAAGAGGAAATGAGGTGAAAAAGTGTTCAAGGAAGTACTCAGGTGGAAGGTTGGTGGTACATGGTTTCAGGAGAAGTTTGAGTTCCTGGTAGGTCAGATCATAGGGTTCCATGAAAGGGCAATTGCACCAGTTACAAGAGTACCTGTGCATCACCAGCTGAAAAGGGGATAAGAAACTGAAGGAAGAGAAGGGCATAGGTCACTCCACAGGGTTCCACAAAAGGACAGCTATGTCAAATGCAGGTGTTCCTGTTCATCTGTATGTTGTACCTATTTATCAGACTGTATGGTGTCAGCCTAGAAACTGTAGTCTTCATATGTATCATATGACATGAAATGAATGATTCCCAAATACAGAAAGGAAATTCAGTTTTTTAAATTTTTGTGATAAAACTGAAATTTTAAGTAGGAAAATCTGCATTTTTTCTGAAGACCAGATTTTAATGTTGTTATTTTTGTGATGTAGTTTAAGCCCATTTTCCTGGGTACTGTTGATCCAAATAGTGATATGGCGAAATGGGTAAGAACTGTTAACACCCAGAAATGCATCCGAGCTGGTGGCAAGCATAATGACCTGGATGATGTTGGGAAGGATGTGTACCACCACACATTTTTTGAAATGTTGGGAAACTGGTCTTTTGGAGACTACTTTAAGGTAGGTTATTGATCTGTATTATTTATAAAAATTTGTTTGTCATGTGAGATGCTTATATTATTCTTCATCATTGATTTGGAAAACTAAATTGAATATTGACTAAGAACTTTCTTAGAAACTAAAAGTGATAAAATGGTCATAAGTAGATAGCTGTATCATTCATCATTAACAGCTTGCAGACTGGTGGCATATTTTTATGCCCAGCGCTTTTAAACATGATGAACCGGTGGCATATTATTATGATTTTAGGACACATTATGTTGAAAAAAACTATACCTTGCATTGGTGCCAGGCAGACACATGACTGGTGCGTGATAGACCTCTTGAATGTTTGCTTCATAGTCAGTAACATGACCCAGCTGTTTTCCTTTCTCACTCCAAAAGAAAATGCCTTTGTTCATCTTCCAGCTGCATGCACCATGCAGGAAGTTACTAGTGCAAAATGAATCAAGGTCGGAAGAGGTTGAGGTCCAAGCGTCTTCTTGGAGAACAAGAAATATCTGACTTGTTCTCTGATGAGCTATCTGACCTCCCTTGTGAGTCTGCTAGTGATAGCGACTGACAGTCTGATAGTGAGTGTGGCAGGAGCGAACACAAAATTGTGGCCACAGACAGTGAAAGTGAAAGTGACAGTAGCTCCGACGAAAGTGCAGGTAACAACATTGCGGAGACAGCCACATGGGGAAAAGTAGACAAAACGCCTTCTTTGGGACAGTTTACTGGAAATCCTGGGGTGAAGGAGATTCCATCGGACCCAATGCAAGTGTCTGAAGTAGCGGCACTGTTTTTTGGAGATAGTTTCTTTGACATGCTATGTCAGGAAACTAACAGATACTATCTCGGGTGATATGCAGAAACGTACTCTCGTGAAAATAGTGAAGAGTGAACATGGCAAGTGGAAGCAGCCTTCTAGGCGATGCCGTGTTTGCACAGTACACAACAAAAGGAGTGTGACTGTCTACATGTGCAAGTTCTGTGTAATGCCACTTCACAAAGGGGAATGTTTCCAGAAATATCACACTCTCAAGCACTACTAGGAGCATTGTTCTCCAAAAATTTTAGTTCATAAAATTAATTAGGAGATTTTATATTAATTTTTAAAGTGAACAGTGCCCAAGTTAGGGTAATAGGTTTAAAAATGCCGGTCCCCAGGGCGATTTAAATATTGAAATCGCCAGTCCGCGAAGTGTTAATTTTAGTATACTGCTTCTGATGTTCCTTCTCAGAGTATACTAAGTGTCTTCCCTGATCTGTGGTTCAGTATACTCTTCCTCTAGATCAGGGGTCACTAAACTATATCCAAACTGAAATTTACATGTCATATCTTTTATTTAGGCAGATTTGAGAGATCATTGTGTTTTAGGTGTATGTCTAAATATTAATTTCACAAACGTAACAGTAGTATTGTTGGGGTTTTTCTAGTTCTGTGCAGTGTGGTGTTTGACATATGTCATACTAATGTTTCCCCATGGAGATGAGATATGGTATTGTTTTATAAAGAGAGGTTATTTGAAAACCTGTTGTAAGTCATTCAGCCAGTGCAGCATAAGAAAGGCAGATTTCTCTTTCTGCAGATGTAGATCTTCAGTCCAGTTGACAAGACCACAGGCCATTAAATCACAAACAAAGCCCACCTAGATCCCAGTAGATGCTGGAAATCCTTCCTATTCTTGTACATGTCTTTTTTTACCTTCCATATACCATTCACATTCATTCATTAAAATCCATTCTTTGAAGAGTAAACTTGTAATTTTAAGCCTGAGCATTTAAATTCCAGTCTCCTGTGCAAGGTATGCTAAGAGATTCAAGTGTTGAAGTGCCAGCTTTAGTGGATAGAGGATGTCGTGTGGTCAGCTTAATGAATCCCTACAGCTGTTAATTTCAGTTTTCTAGACCGGAGCTACTACTTTTCCATTCAAGTAGCTCCTCAGTTATCCTCATGAGGGTGAATGGACCCAATTTCAGACCCACTACTTCGCAGAAAATCTGATAGCACTGGGAATTGAACCCAGACCTCTGGATCTCTAGGCAGGAACTCTGACCACTAGACCACAGAGGCGGCCAGTAAGTTCGCTGACAAGAGGCGGTCACTTGATCAGTATAGTTCGCTTGCGGACTAAAACCACGGAGTTTGTTTTTCAAGTGTTCAAGCCTGGCACTGATGTCATAAAATTTCTTTTCATTGAGCACCATCTGTTGTCATTCAGTTCTTTTTCTTTGTCCAGTAATGAATGTTTATCTAAATTTATTTGTGATTGTGTGAATTTTTTTTTTATTACAAAATCCTTAAATTTAGGCTGAAATATTCATACTCTTCACATGAGTGTTATCTGTGAACCCTTGTTTGAGTGTGTAACTCTGAAATGGCATTTTGACATAATGTCACAGTTTATTGAAATTTTAATACAGTAGAAAGGGCTTGGAATTGTAGTTGACACACATAATGCATAGTCTTGCTTCATTGTAGCCATCCTGAGATTTATTTGGGTGATACTGAAGAGAAATTTTATAGGCTGTTGGCTTGTCAGCTGTGCCGTTGGTCTGTTCATACATCGTACAACTTGATGGGAATAGCACTTGTCTCTCCTGCTGTACGAGCTGTATGATTTGAGGGAGATTCTCAATCTCCCTATATAATTTAGTTTCTTAATAGATCAAACAAATTCATGAAGTTTCCCAAAAACAGTTACATTTCTGTAATGTTGATTTTCCTCATGGATGCTGTAATGAAGTGAATTGTATAAACATTTACGCCTGTGAAATAAAGCTTTCATTCTTCTGTCTTAAGAGTATCCTTTCCTGAAACTGATGATTTGCAGTTTTCCGAATGTTTCGTGGTTATATTTTGAGAACAATAATGCAACATTTTAATGGAAGTCTATGGACTTGGTCCTTCCATTAAATAATGCTATAATGAATGAAAATTTTCATTAGAGTTCACACAAAAACCCTGGATTAGGGTACCTACAAGGTGGACTCTGCAACATCTGATGGTAGGAAGGTTAGGAGGATGCTGGCTGGGAGATAAACCTACAGCTTAATGTGGGATCCAGGTCATTCCATGTCAATTCAGCACAGCAGCTGAAATAACCAACTTATATTTTAATTACATTTTGTAAACCTACAGAGTTTGAAGTGGTGACTGGAGTATTTTCTTCCATTGTAAATTGATTTTAAAGTTATTATATTTTGAAGTTTAATTTTTCTGTAGCTTTTCCCACTGTCTTGATGTACTAAAATAATTATAATTAAGATAGAGAAATCATTCATATACTAATTGGAAGCCCTTAAGTGGGGCTTTCAATTAGTGTGCAACTTGCAGTATATTAAGGCATAATAACATTTTGGCTTTATTCATTCATGAGTATATAGCTGGAAGCTTTTCCAGAACATTTTGCATTTCTTCAATTACATTTTTAGGATATTTGAGACACGACTGGGTTGTGGATAACCGCAGGTTACGTACATGTTGTTGGTCACCTCAATTAAAGATTGCAGTAAGCTGCATAGGTAATGTAGCAATAATAAGAAAGGTAAAGAAGAAACCTGATAGGCATATTCATTAAAATATTAAAATTAGCTTTTCAGTTAAGTAAGAGATGTCAACCTGCAAGAGTATGATGTACATGTAAATACAGGGTGGGGCACAGAAACTTCCTTTTTTTGAAGGCGAATAAAAGAAAAATTATTGCTGATAGACAAAATTTATGTTTAGCTAATGAAAGAACGTACTTTAAAGTTTTAAATCATGTAGTTTTAAACACCGTTCTCTATGCACTGATGCAACCGTTTTCTGAAGTTCTCATCTGCATGTTCCAACATGTGCACCGGAATTTGGTCTACTTCCTGCTGGATAACATTCTTCAGCTGAAGCAGGTTTGTGGGGCGATGTTTAAAAACCTCTGCCTTGAGGTATCCTCATAAAAAAAATCACATCATTAGATGTGAATGCGCTACCTACGGGATGTCACCTTGAAGTGAGCTTAGCCATCTGGGGAACTTTGCCCACAAAACTGTCATCAAAGCTCTGGCTGTGTGGACCATGGCACCATCCTGTTGGAACCAGACATTTCCTAGATGCATTTCTTCAAGAGCTGGTTCGAAAAAGTTTTTAATCATGTCCACATACCGCTGTGAATTGACAGTAACTGCGTGATTGTCTTCTTCAAAGGGCCAATAACTCCCACTCTCGACAACACACACCATACTGTCACCTTATCACTGTGAAGTGGCCTCTCTGGGATTGTTACCACTCCAATAGTGCATATTCTGCTTGTTGACATATCCGGATAGGTGAAAATGTGCCTCATCACTAAAGAAAACAAGTGCGTCAAGGGGTAAAGTTTCCAATAACATTTCGCGCGCCGTTATTCGGTTCTGGAAATTACGTGGTGACAATTCTTGCACAACAGCCATCTTATAGGGATGGAAATGAAGATGTTCGTGAAGAATTCAGCGCATTGAACGGTTGGATATGTCTAGGCCGACTGCATGTTTGCAAGCGGCGCGTCTTGGCTATCTCAATTTCGACTGTCGAACTGCCTCCACATTTTCTGGTGTCGTAACGGTCCGTTGTTGTCCTGTTGATTTTTTCACCACACTCCCAGTTGTCCTAAAGTTCTTTACCCACAAAAAAATCTCATTCTGGTCGGGAACCAAATCTTTGGGCTTAATTCCGAAGTGAGTACGGAACACACTGCANGGTTATACACAATCAATATACAGTTATATACATTTTAGTAATATCACAATTAAAGAGCCGACTGGTGTCGGATTACACATTGCGCCTTCTTAGACGATTCTTGGACCTCATCTTAGCCTTTCTTTCACCCGGTTGCGGGCTAAAAAAAACGACTACATTACTTCCTCTATCGTTGCTTCCTTGGCTAGGGGCGCACTGTTCCCAGGGCTTGTCAGGAGGGTGCAGGTTCGAAATGTAAGGGAGGAAATCACAACAACAAAAACCCACATCCTCACCCTATGCTACCCTATATTGGTTATACACAATCAATATACAGTTATATACATTTTAGTAATATCACAATTAAAGAGCCGACTGGTGTCGGATTACACATTGCGCCTTCTTAGATGATTCTTGGACCTCATCTTAGCCTTTCTTTCACCCGGTTGCGTTTCGCTAGTCTCCTCTTTCTCCTGTTCTACTCATCCACTACAATATATATCTTTACACTTCCCTGCATCTAGACACAGCCTCTGCAGCCTCTATATTACACATGTCTACCTCTGCATTTCTCTGATGAATCACTCTTACACCCTGTACACTTGTTGTAACGTTCCTAACTCATGTCCCATTGGGGAAGTTACACTTTAATAATATCACAATTATTAAGCATGGCGATAAGAGTAGTTCCACTTACTTTGCCTTGAGACTGCAGACGGATGGCGTGGCCCAGCATCCAGTCGGTGCTCCTTCCGGCATAGCTTATGGCGGCAACTGGCCAAAATTACTGTTTGAATTGTTCCCATAATAATTTGCTCTCTGGGTTATATACCTTTATTCTTGCTAACTCGTTACTTTCCCGGAGGGTGCAAGCCCGCCTACAATGACGTCTTGTCCCAAGTGGCTAGCTGTCATTGGCTGGGATCCTTGGGGGTGGACACGCCCCCTTACTGCTAGTCCATTTGGCTAACACTTTTACCTGCAAACCTTCCTCCCTCACTCAAGTGTAGATTTTGCAGAGTTGGCATTTCGATGTACTTTCAGCGTCATTGTGCTGACAAGACATCGACGCGTCAAAGGCTAACGTCCGTCTAACTCCATACGCAGAAATTCCTTGCAGTTTCTTAACCCTTCTTACATCCTCTTTCGTACATCTTACAAGTATTTCCCAAAACTAATTCTATTCTAGCCAACATTTTCCCCTAAAATAAAAAAAGTTAAATACTCTTAACATGTTACCGGGAGTTGGCCTTCAGGGCACAACAGCTGTGTTCGCCAAGCCTATCCTCACTTTTCTGCAACCTCCCCTTCCTTCACAATGCGTCTTCACAAAAAGGAAGTTTCTGCACCCCACCCTGTATCTGAAAGCTCTGGTCAGAGTACAAGCATAGTTTTAAATGCAATACTGATCATGTCATTACCATGAATGCCATCTTTTCCATCATGACCTTTGTATAAGTGATACTCCCATGCCCTAGAAAACACCTGAGTACAAATTCAGCATGACAGAACTGTTCACATATTTTGAAATTTAATCAGGTGCCACTTATTTAACAGAATATACTTATTTATTAAAGTATAAGTGAAGTAGATTATTTTGATTTACTTTTTAAATCTTTAATGCCATAAAAAATACAGTAATATATGCTGTAGTGCTGTGGAGAATAAAAATGTTCAACTTTCAGCCAGATAAATTAATTTAGACTCCGGTTTCCTGTTTCAGCATTGCCATTTGTCAGTCCACATTTTGATAATTTATAAAGAAATTGCATTGCAGCAAAAAGCTTTTTGAAGACTGAGAAATCTAGTACAATTATCTATATAAATTCACTAAATTTATGGATGTTTCGCCCTTTTAAAATGTATGAGAAGTTTAAGCTAGAAAAACAAGAAAGTTACTGAGTGAATAAATTATGTCTCGGCTCTAGATGCACCAGCTGTCAACACTTGTATGTTTCTTTATAAAAGCCTGATAGCTGTTTCAGCTACATCTTTTTCAGTCCCTCAGTAGGCTAATACATGCGTCTAAGAAGAGTAAGCAGTTGCACTAAGTTCAGACAGGTTATTGTTTGTCAGTAGATTGCTAAGTAATCTTTCAGAAAATGAGTTACATGCTTAAGAAAGTTGATAACCAATATCATAGAGGCATGCAGATTTGCAAAGAACACATTTGGAAAATATATGCATTCCATTTGACTCTGTTGGCTTAAGCTTATGATACAAACGGTTATTTAATGCAGTCAGGATCTCAGCTGTTAGCATTCACTGAGCCTGTAGATTCTACAGCAGGAAAATGATAAAAGAATATCAAAAGTTTTGCTCTGTAGAATGTGGAATTGGTCTACAAATGACATAGTCAAAGAATTGCCATTATACTTGGTTTTACTTGTGGTCTCTTCAAGGTGTTAAGATTTTGGAGATATTTTGTATGCTTTAATAATCTCGCCTATTTTATGGAAACAGTGTTGTGCATATGGATTTCCTGATTATTAACTGTTGTGATCCTTCTTGATACTTTGTACATTTGACTTTTAGCTGACGAGTGGAATATTGTATTAAAGCAAGGAAGATGTCAACTTCCTCTGTTTTTTTCTAGAAAGAAATTTGTGCATGGGCTTGGGAGCTTCTCACTCAAGTATTCAAACTTCCTTCTGACCGTCTGTATGTAACATACTTTGGCGGTGACAGAGCAGCTGGTCTAGAACCAGATGAAGAATGCAGAGAAATTTGGATCAACTTAGGGTATGTGCAATAATTTTAGTGCATTGGCTCATGTACTTTATGGAATGCTAAGATAGAATATTTTATGCTTAGTGCTGCATATTTTAAGAGCTGATACATCATAGATCTGAACACCATGATCAATTGGTTATTCCTTCATATTTGAGATGCTCATGTTTAAATTTTGGGCCAGAGCTTGGCCGTAATAGTGGACTTTTAATGGCTTTCCTCAGGCCTTCAGGCATATTTGAGAATATTATGTTAAAAAAGAAAATGACTGCATCCTTTCATATTTTCTCAATTTGGAATTTCACCTATCTTATCATTTCATGCTGTATAATCTCAGAAACAAAATGTTGCTGAATAAACTAAGAAAGAATAAATAAAGATTATAAAATCTAATAGACAATCAACATTGATTGCTCATTCACACTAGTGTTCATTAAAAACTAGGTGTTCTAACATGCCATATTTCTTCGTGGAATATTGCTTGTCACATCCCCCTTCCCCACTTTTTTTGGCGGGGAGCTTAGTTTTGTCAGTTACCTCATAACAATTTACAGGTTTGCCTATTGACTACAGTTCCTGATAGCATCTGTATGTACAGTTACTTTTTGTATAATGAAGTTATCACTGGATTGACAACCAATCTTTAAAAGCAGGTAGATGCCATTTTCAAGGGAGTATTGATCTAGTCATTGGCCCCCTATTAAGGGTAGGTAAAAGTGGTTTAAGAAGGCTTAGTATGACTTCCTTTTTGTCATTTGCCTGAAAAGGGCAGTCTGTAAAATAAGAGGTTTAAGAGTTGCTGGTTGTGATTTTCAGCAGTGGTGTGTGGTAATGGTTTAGTATGGGGAAGACATGGAGTATCAGGTTAAGGTAAGCAGTGGAACAGCTGCTTGTAGAAAGTGTGTGAAAGGGAGGGAAAAGAAAAGTGTGTGTGTAAGAGAGAAATAAATGTGCGAGAAGAGTGATCATCTGAGATTCAAATTTTTTTTCTGTATGAGGGAAAAGGACTAGTTTTACATACTGTCATTTTGTCCACTGTTCTAATAATGCCTTTTGTCTTTGATCCAAATGTACATTAGTATACAGGTTATTATTGTATTATTTCTTAATTTATTTAATGGCACTGTCTCACCTATGTGGATTTTAGAATATCAATTCAGAAATGACAGGATGCCTACATGCGGTGAGTTATGAAAGATGTAGTTCATTTTAGTTTGTTATCCCAATATTTCTCTGGCCTTCATGGGTGACACTATGAGGAACCTCATGCATTTAATACTGAGTGATTAAAATCATGGACCTCTTGTATACAGGGCAGTGTACCAACCACTGTGTTGACATTTAGTGATAAAATCACACTACATTGGAGTGTTTATTTAATGTTTCTTGAGTTAGGTTTTTCCTTGTTTACTATTAAATTTGTGTAGTTCCACCTCCAGTGCCTCAGTTTAAAATTATCTTCATTTAAATTTCAAATACGTTGTCTCACATGGGGATTTTAATACAGTTATCAACATTGTTCCTAATTCTTTGCAGTTGTGTGTTTATTATCAAGGTATGTAATTCTTTTTTTTTTTTTAACTTCAGCCTTGCACCTTCTCATATATTACCTGGCAGCATGAAAGACAATTTTTGGGAAATGGGAGAGACTGGACCTTGTGGGCCTTGTTCAGAACTTCATTTTGATCGAATTGGTGGGCGTAATGCAGCTCACCTAGTGAATGAAGATGACCCTGATGTACTAGAAATTTGGAATCTTGTTTTTATCCAGTTTAATAGGTAAGGCCACATAACATAAAGTGTGAATATGGTTTACATATATCTCAGTACAGAAAAATCGCGATGATGGTATGTGAGATGCTGGTTGCAGATAGTACTGATTCTGTGGGTAGGTGTGTCTGACAACAGTAGCTTCTTTTGTCTGCTGTCATAATTTTCATGAAACATGCTTGCTTAGAAGATCTTCTTGAAACCTGTATTTTGTATTTCTCAATATTGGATGTTATGATTTTGTGATGGGGTTGTGAGAACATGAAGTGGAACCTCTAGTGGTTAATTGTAAACCATGATGTCAGTTATGAATTTTATATTGTGTTACAGACAGTGTAAACCTCAAGTTGTTTTCTTTGTGTAGAGAATCAGATGGTAGTTTGAAGTCACTTCCCAAGAAGCATATTGACTGCGGAATGGGGCTGGAACGCCTGGTTTCTGTTATCCAAGAGAAACGTTCTAACTATGATACAGATCTCTTCATGCCTCTCTTTGCTGCAATTCAGAAAGTAGGTTATAATGTTTTGAATGTGTAGTATTATTATATGAAATCCTATGGGAAGACACAAATATTGTAACTGTATCTTAGTTCCCTTTACACCATGAGGTCCAAGGAAGATGCTGTGGCTAATGGTATATAGATTTCTTCAGTTGCTTCTTAATATGGAGGTACTGATATGTGTGGATGGACAGTACAGTTTTCTTTCATCTTTGGACGAATTGAATGTATGTTAATTTTCTGAACAGTTCACATTTTGAGGTACTGAAATATCCCTACTCTGAAGTCATAAAGTTGAAGTAACATGAATATAAGAAATTGGTAATCCTTTAACCTTCTGATGTCTTAAATGCTGTCTTTCCTGGTCTTAGCACTTAAAAAGTGTGTTATCTTGTGTCTGCTATTGATATGCATTGAAGAGTTAACTATGTTCTTGATGATATGATATGAGATGGGGCATTGTTGCATTCCCATATTTTCTTCAGTATTTAACCAATGTCTTAATGTAAAATGAGGTAAGTATTTTGTTGTAAGACAATAATGTAGATATCAGGGTTACATTATACTTGGCCCACAGCTGACCTTGTGAAGCTTTCTCCTCTCTCAATCCCTTTCCTCTATCATTCTTGTCAATAATGAATTCTGTTTCTTTGCTGTTTCTTAGGTAAAATCTCTCAGGCCAGTCAGTAATCTATGCAAGACTATGCTTCAAAGCAGGAATATTTTCTCTTGTACTCTTTTATCAGCTTTGCCTATGTATATGATTGGCCAAGAGCCATTTGACCAATAGCCATCAGCATTTTTGTGCATGTTAAGGAAAGTTGTTATTTATTTTATTTATACATTTTTTTTTCTGCTCTCAGCTTTCAATCAATTGCAGAGATTTTATAATGCTAAGTGGTTGATTAATGAATAAAGAAGTAGAAATGAAGTGGAAGAAAGCAGTTGTGGTCCAGTCTAAAGTATTTTTCTGTAGGGACTAGGAGAACTATTGAGTCATAATAGGGTCTTTGGCTGAAATTTGTACCTGGGACTTCCTGAATATGGAGCTGGAATGCTAACATTCAATTTGGCCATCTGTCATTTTTTTTGTTCCCCCTTGGCACTACAGCCCCAGTGGGCCTAGGCCTACCTCCATGAACTCCGTTCACTTTGGTTTTTCTAGATCTTACACATACGGTAGGACTCCTTGGGCGAGTGATCAGCTCGTCTCAAGGCCTCTACCTGTAGACAAACACAGAAAAACGCACACAAACATGCATGCCCTGAGTGGGATTCGAACCCACGATCCCGGCTGCCGAGCGAGCAAAGACAGTGCATGCCTTAGACCACTCGGCTACCGTGCATCTGTCATATTACTGATCAGATAACAAGGTACTATATTGTACTGTATTATTCTCAAATATTATGAGTAGAGCCTGGTTTCTCCATATACTGGAATTTCTTTTCTTCAGAAGTAATGAAAATCTGTCAAGCAAAATGAATCTCAGAAGGAGTTTTGCAGAAAATTTGGTCTTGGATGATGTAATTGCAATACACAATGACAGGATGTGTTTTTAGTAGTATGGTCAACAAAACAAAAATGATTTGTAATAAAAGTGTGCACACTATTGTGCAAGTGAAGTATGACTTGACAGTTTATTTGGGGAAACAAGGTATGGATGGTGATGATCTCTTACACATGGAACATTGCTACAGTTCTCTTTCATCACCTCAGATCTTTTCAGATCTAAATAATATGGGCTATAGCCCTTCCAATTGAAAAATATATTATACATAAAGTGAAAGGAGGCATGGAAAGAGGACACGTATCTTCTGACCAGCACCAAAACCCCATGCACTGGGTCAGTATGTAAATAAAGAAGGAAACACTGTGCACTAGAAGTTAAATAAAATTAAGGCATATCACCAGACTGGCTGTTACGGCTGAGGTTTTCATGGGTTCCATAACTGCTGCAGATAGATGTGTTAATAACTCAAAGTGAGCAGTTAAGTCCTTCCACTTCTATTCCAATCCATTATTTATCATCATCCTACCACACGATACTATACATAAGCTACTGATAAAATTATTAAATAAACCATAAGTAAAAAAAAACTGATGCTTTCCATAGAACATACATGTTGACAAAATTCTATTCTACAACTCAGGCTGTGCAGAATGCCATCTCAATTATAGCTCATTATGGGAGAAAACTCACATAAACAGTTTCAAGAACAACTTTTGGATGTCTGATTGATGGTGCTAGAAAGTTTTGCTATTGTAAACACTGTAAAAACTCCATTTTGATGCATGTTATAAACTATATAAAATAATACCACATGACTCAAAACTTCTGACAGGGTGTGCTGGCCTTTCTGTTCATTGTTTGAATTTGGTCACTTCATGAATTCCAAACAGTGAAGCAGTATTCATGTGATGTGACCCCAAACAATAGTACAGTAGATGAGAGACAGAGTTTGTCTTACATATTCCTTCCATAACTTCTTGTAGATTCTCAAGTCTAAATTTGTCATACATTTTAAGACAGCAAAACATGCATAAATTTGATGAATGGTCACAAGTAGCCACTAAGTTCTTGAATCTTCAGAAAGCATTTTGTTGTAATAGATTGCCTTTGTACATTGTCAAAGTGTGGATTTAGTGACAGAAGCGGAGAAGTGGAGAATTTAAATTGACCTATCTGGATGTATGCTGGACATCTGTATTCTCCATACTTCTACAGCTGCTGTGACATTAAAGGTTAATAAGTGAATACAATTAATTTGCTTCACTTACACTGTAATAAATAAGTGCCGCTTGATTAAATTTTAAAATATGTAAACATTTTTTATGATGATTGATTTGTACCCAGATGTGTTTTCTTCCAGGGTACAGGAGTACCACCATACAAAGGTCATGTTGGTGAAGATGATGTGGATGGCGTGGACATGGCTTATCGCGTGTTGGCGGACCATGCTCGAACTCTGACCATAGCTTTGTCTGATGGAGGACATCCTGATAACACTGGCCGAGGGTAACTTAGTGCCTTTTACTATTGTTGTGGTGTGTGTAGTATATTGTTCTTACCAGGCTATGTTAACAGTATCTTGTCTGGCTTGTATCTGGGAGGCACTCTGTTTAAATTTGTTTGGGTATAAACTGTTTTTGCTTAAAGTTGTTTATAGTTTTCCTTAGTGATACCAGGTAAATGTTGGACTAATTAAACTCAGAGATAGTTCTCTCGTTTTAAATTTACTTAAATGTAAGGTCTACCAGAAATTAGTGTTTTGTTAAGCTTTTATTAATAATAAGTTTGTGTATTTATCTTTCTTCCTATTGAAAGTCTTCTTTCTTTTCCCCTCAGCTATGTCTTAAGGCGCATTCTGCGACGAGCTGTCAGATATGCAACTGAGAAGCTGAATGCTAAGCCTGGTTTCTTTGCAACTCTTGTTAACACAGTTGTGGAGATTCTAGGGGATACATTCCCAGAGGTCAGTATTTCACATTTTCTGAGGAATGTAATTGGGATGTTTGATTATGTAATTTCATCCATGCCAGTGTGTTATTCACACATTGTAATTTCTTAAGTGAAAGTAAGAACAGATAAATCCTTTTACGTTGCATACACCTCATGCAGCACCATCTGCCACAACAGGAAATTAAGAAAACATGTCTGACAGTACAGGTTCCCAGTTCGACTAACAATGACATGTTAAAAGTTGCCACTGTAGTGCAACAGATCATGATGGAGCTCAGTGAAGCTGTGTCAGAAAAGGACAACATAATGGTTGTTACAAAAATGGTACTTAATGAAACAAAATGGCTGCTAGAGTTAGGGGCTGCTCAAAGTCATAACATTTAAGGCTAATGGCATTTGGAGGCATTGCTATGAATTCGGTAAACAGCTGCAAGACTTACATATAAATGTGGGCCTGCTCCCAGAGACACATCTGAAACCCCATCAGAGGTTCCTTATTCCAAGTTATCACTTCTATCGAGCTGACCACTTCCTTTGAAGAAAAGGTGGAACTGCTGTTGCAGTTAAAAAGACATTCCCCACAGCCATATAAACCTGCCTCTGCTTGTTTCAATAGAAGCCACAGGGGTTTGCATGCCAATTGGTAATAGTGAAGTGCTGCTTGCAGCAGTCTGTAAGTCACCAGGCCACACCTGGAATGATGCAGGTATCATTGAGCTCGTGTCCTTTAGACACAAGTCACTACTGGCAGGAAATCTGAATGCTAAACATTCATTTTGGAATAGCCTAGTTTCCAACCCTGCAGGTGTGAAACTGCTGAATTTATTGCATATAAATAAGTTTGAAATATCAGCACCACAATGTCCCAATCATTACTGTCATGCGGGAAATGGTGACATACTTGATGTTCTTGTTCACAAGGATGTGTAGCTATCACGGCTCATTGTCTGTGACATTCTTGACCCAGATCACCTACCAGTCGTTTTCCACTTACTGGATCATGTTAGAACTAGGAATCTTTCAGACCTGATTGACAGATTCACAGATTAGGAGTGGTTTCAAAGCTTGGCCTCTGAAATAATTTCACCTAGAATCCAAATTAACTTGAGCAAAGAAGCTGATAAAGTGGCCTGTGACCTCACTGGCTCTATAGCTTCAGCATATAGGCTATTGCTAGGAAACTTACGTTCTTGGACCTAAAGAACTGGAGAGCCTGGTAAAACATAAAAGGAGGTTAAGGAAACTGTGGCATATAGCCTGGGATACAGCATGTAAAATGGCAGTTAATTGGGTTTCCAAAACCATTCGGCAAATGACCCATAGAAAGGAACTTGGAACAGTGGAAAGAAAAGTAGCAACTGTGAGGTCACATATCAAGCTCTGTGGCCTGTTGTGAAATCGCTTATGAAAACAGATAAACCAAAGGCACCAACCACTGTTCATGGCCCTTTAGGAATAATATATCATCTGAATGAGAAGCCAATGTGAATGCGGATTGTTTAGAAAACGATTTCACATCCCATGACCTATGTCATGAGCAACAGGTAGGGACTACAGTCCAAGCTCTGCTTGCATTTGTAGATGGCACCCCATTGGGGAAAGTAAGATATTGTGACATAGATAAATTAGCAAATTCATTAAGAATGAGAAAGGCTTGTGGACTTGATGGTATTCCAAATTAATGCCTTAAGCATCTTCCAAGAAGAGCACTGGTACTTCTACTCATTTATTTAATCACTGCTTTCGTCTGTCCCATTTTTCCAAAACCTTGGAAGGAAGCAAAAGTTATAATGTGATGGAAACCCGGTAAGGACCCAAAATTTCCTCAGAATTTATGCCCAATTAGCCTCTTGTCTACAACAAGCAAGCTGTTTGAAAAAGCTATTCTGAAAATAATCCAAAGGCACTTTGAAGAAAGAGGCCTGCTTAATGCAATGTTTTCTCTGTTGTCAATGTAAAGGAGTTAAAAGAAAGATAATTGGGGTGGTCAAGTTCAGTTGACATTTGACAGGAGTTCTGTACAGGACTTGAGCATGAAAGCAGAGGAATAGCCATTGTTAATATGTTACCAAGCAATGGCTAGTGAAGATTGTAAAAGACTGAGAATTCTTAGAGTTTGATAGTGATTTGTAAAGTGGAGATCAGTGGTAGTGCTGTATTTACATGTAGCTCTGAGTGGTGTGTATAGGTGGCCAGTATCCATTATCAGTCCATACCCCCTTGAATGTGGCAGCATATTTCAGGTGCCCAACTAATGCAAGAGGATGCTCAAATATAATATCAGGTTAATGTAAACTTGCAGGAAGGTATAAAAAATATAATAATTAAAACAGTTCATTCTGACCATGTACCAGTGTACACTCAACTCTCAATTATCCGGGGGCGGATAAACTGGTTTGCAGCTTAACCGGGGCTACCGGGGCTTTTTTGAGGCTTATATGTTGTTTAATATTCAATCCCTTTTGTTTCACATGGTGAATTGTAACACTATTTTCGCACTAGTGTGAACTGAGCTCTGCATTTTTTGGTCCCATTATGCTAACACAATGTTCTAGGGTAGGGGTGCAAGAATGCAAGGATTTGTGGAAAGTTTCAAGGACAGATACACCACCCCAGTCAGTCTCTTTGTATTGATCTTCAAGTGCATTAGCAAAATGTCAGTGTGTAAAAGGAAGCGTGTTGTGTTAAGTATTCAGCAGAAACTTGAAATTATCAGCTGGGAAAAAGAGGTGTAGTTAAACAATTAGCAATGCAATACGGTATTGGAGAACAAACTGTTCGTGATTTGAAAAAACAAAAGAATCATTTAATTTCCTTTGCTTCGTCTTCTAATTCAAGCGGAATGAAGAAGAGAAAAACCATGAAAAAATCCAATTCATGGAAGAAACTGATGCCTTTCATCACTAATGAAGATGATGAAATCCATGGATTCACTGGATTCAGTGAAAATGAGATAGCCATAGAATTGACAAAATTGGCTAACCAAGTTCATGGTGGTGAAGAAGTCAACAAGGAAAATATAAGAGAGTAGTTTGACTGTGACTCGTGTGAGCCGGGCTTCAAAATGTTAAGCAGTGACGAAATTGTGAGTTCAGTGGGGGCGCAGCTAGAAGAGTGGGAAGAAAGTGAGAATGAGGAAGAGGTGGACAGTGCTGCTAGTAAGAAAATATCACATGGCGCTGCTCTTAATCATTTGGAATCCTTACTAGACTATCTTGAGAGTGAAGAGAACAGTTTGTTAAGTGACAAGCTAATATTATGTAGGCTTCGTACGGATATCCATAAAAAGGAAAATGCCACGAAAAAGCAAACGACAGTATTAAATTTTTTAAGTTTTAAATGTGAATATTTGTAAAAAGTGTTGGATGTTGTTTGAACACTGTGATTGAAATAACTAATTCATACTTCAGTGTAATGTAAAAAAAGTATTAAATAGGCCATGAGATGACATAAAAATGAGGTTGAATAAATGTAAATACAGGTAGGCTTATAGTATTATGAAGGTACAGTATTACAGTACTACTTTTAATAAAATTTGTCTTAACCGGGTTTTCGATTAATCGTGATTTACATCCCCACCATTAACCCGGATAATCGAGAGTTGAGTGTATATAGTCCTACAAGTGATGCAGTTTTGTTTAGAGTTTCCATGATACAGATACAGCTATGATTTCTTCAACAGGTTAAGAAAGATCCACAGAGTGTTATAGATTTGATCAATGAAGAAGAAACACAGTTCCTTAAAACTTTGACTCGAGGTCATAACTTGCTGAACCGAACCATTATGAAGCTGGGAAATTCTAAAACTCTTCCAGGTATAACTTAAATCTTTTGTTGTACTTTCAAGACTGTAAGTATGCAGACTTGGTAAGAACATACACAAACTCCACTAGAGGTTACTAAGGATGTTGCCTTATAAAATGTAAGAAGGGAAAAAGCACATATTACATTTCCAGAATACAGGACAAATTTGTAATTTAATAATTATTTATGAATTCTGAAATAATGTGACAAGGTTCAAGCACTTGACAGTAACAGTAACAAATGTAATTATAGTCACGATGAAATTGAAAACTGATTAAATGTGGGAAATGCATACTATTCAGTTTAGAACCTTTTTTATTTCCAGTGCCTTTCTAGACTGAGTATATCACAAACGGCAGTTTCCTTCTTTTATGCTGGTATGAAGCTTTGTCTAGGACCGCCTCTGTGGTCTAGAAGTTAAGAGTTCCTGGCTACAGATCCAGAGGTCCGGGATCGATTCCCAGTGGTACTAGGCTTTTCTGAGAAGTAATGGGTCCGGAATGGGGTCCACTCAGCCTCGTGATGATAATTGAGGAGCTACTTCAAGGAAATAGCGGCTCTGGTCTAGAAGACCGAAATTAATGGCCGTGGGGATTCCTTGCACTGACCACGCGACACCTTCTATCTGCAAAAGTTGGCACTAACTTTGCCGACAAGTGGCAGTCACGTGGTCAGTATAGTTTGCTTGCAGACTAAACTCACAGAGTTTGTTTTTTTTGTTTTATGAAGCTTTGTCTCCTATTCATGCGAAAGAACATCAATTGAAGAAATGAGAACTCTTTTGTAAGGAGAATATTTACACCTAAAGGAGAGGAGTTTACATAAGAACAGGAAGTTACTTAATGAGAGCTTTATAAGTAGCGTAGTTGGTTGAANAATGTAATTATAGTCACGATGAAATTGAAAACTGATTAAATGTGGGAAATGCATACTATTCAGTTTAGAATCTTTTTTTGTTCCCAGTGCCTTTCTAGACTGAAAACAACACAAACTGCAGTTTTCTTCCTTTATACTGGTATGAAGGTTTGTCTCCTATTCATGGGAAAGAACATCGATTGAAGATGTGTGAGAACTCTTTTTTTAAGGGAAATATTTACGCCTAAACGAGAGGAGTTTACACAAGAACAGAAAATTACTTAATGAGAGCTTTATAATTTATACTCATTACTGCGTGAGCCATCAAGTATGGTGGGCCAAGTGGCATTGTTTCTGGTTTAATTTTCCGTGTTTTTATATTGATACAATACTTGGTCTTTGGGGAGGAATTCAGATTGAAGATATTCAAGAGCAAATTGCTAAGTAGTATGTCCAAACCTAAGAGAGGGGAATTTATAGGGGAAGAGAGAAAATTACTTAATGAGGGTGCTTATAATTTATACTGTACTGCATGTAGCACAACCAGATTGAACCAAGCAATAACACTTGTGGCTTTATTTTAGAGGTTTCCAGTTTGAATCTTGGCTGTGACAGCAGGAATCCTGATTTGAGATTTTTTTTTTCTCATTTCCTCCAGGAAAATGCTTGGATAGTACTTTAAATTAGGCCATGGCCACTTCCTTCCACATTCTTTCCATTTATTTATTTACTATTATCCATTCATTTTGTTCTCTATTATCTGAGTTACTGATGATATCCTTAAATTAACTTCAGAAAAAATTCCTCATGCATCACATGCAGAGAATCAAAATAACTGTTGCAAACCCTAAGAGACATTCTCATTAGGGAGACTTAGGCACATTAGGTAGGGTGTTAAATAAGATTGTAGAAAAATAAGTTGTGAAGATATGAAGAGGATTGAACCGACTTTTGACGGGATCCAGACATGAACACAGTTCTGAACTTTTGTGTTTCATAATAGCAGGAAACTTCTTGACCAGATGAAAATTCTACAGCTCATTAAAGTCACTGCATCTTGAAGTTATAGTTCTGAATAGAAGGTACAGTATGCACCAAAAAATCAGTACTGAAACTCGCATATCTCGAACGTGCATGTGTGTTTTTGTCGATGGGGCATAGCTCCAGCCACACGTGTTCCCAGTAGTGAAAAGGAAGTTGTGTTGTGCAGTTGTTATTGGAAATGGGTCTCTCGACGGAGGAAAAAGTATTCATAGTTGAGTATTTTTTCCACTCATATGGAAGTAGTCATGAAGGGGGACCGAGTTTGAAAAAGGTGACAGAACAATTCCAAGAGAGATTTAATAAGATGGCACCAAGTAACACAGTTATGCTGTCTATTGTTACAAAATTTCGCCATTCTGGTAGTGTACTCTGTCAACGGAAGGGGAAGTCTGGTTGACCAGTAACTGTTGTTTCGACGAAAGAGAATCATGCATGTGTTCTTCTGCAGGTGCTGCATTCGCCCCAGCTAAGTCCATGATGAACAGCCTTGAAACTGAATGTCAGCGATATGTCCGTTTTCTGATTGTTTAAGGACATAGGTGGATTTCTGTACTGGATGCAGGTTGGACAACGCTTGACAGAGTCAGATATGCGAACCAGGATGGTGTTTTGTGGAACATTTTTGGCCATGGTGTACGAGGATCCAGATTTCTTGAGGAATGTGTGGTTCTCCGACGAAAGTCACATTCACTTGGATGGCTACATCAATTGCCAGACAACTCGCTTCCTTGGTTTTGAGTGGCCAGACGTTATCCAGAAACCGCTACATAGTACATGTGTGACGATATGGTGTGCTGTCTCAGTGCACAGTATATTAGGCTCCTATTTCATTGGGGATGAGGAAGGCAATGCTCATACCATCACCCAAGAATGCTACAGGTACATGGTAATTGGACCATTTCTTCAGGATTTGAGAAGGTTCTGTCGTGCAAGTGGCCTTCACATGAATAGACAGTGGTATCAACAGGACGGGGCGACCAGCCACACTGCTCAAGAATCTCTAGCCATGCTGCAGGAAAACTTTCCAGGGTGAATCATTTCACGTGGTACTGACTTCCCATACCCGTCCCATTCCCCCGATCTTACACCACCTGATGCCTACTTGTGGGGAATTTTAAAGGAGTGTGTGTTCAACCGTGAAGATCCACCAAGAACACTGCCTGCATTACGCGAGCAAACCGTCTCCTTTTGCAGGAGTCTGCAGCAACCTTTGTTCCGGGATATGATTGAGAATCTGCATGAATGATATGAACACTGTCTGCAGTGAGGCGGTGCACACATTGAAAACTTAACATTACTCATACTGTGGTAAATCAACACGCTAATAGTGTATATGTTAGTTTCTTTCAGGAGAAATAAACTCACAGATGACAACAAGGTAATATTGTTTATCTTTTCATTTTAGTACTTTATTTTTGGCACATACTGTATATGTTATGTTCAATTGTTTAGGTGATGTGGCATGGAGATTGTATGATACGTATGGGTTCCCAGTTGATTTAACACAGCTGATGTCTGAGGAGAAGGGTCTTACTGTTGACATGGATGCATATGAGGAAGCAAAGAAACAAGCCCAGGTAATGAATACCGTGTATGGTGTTTAGTTGTCCAAAAATTGGTAATATGAAAGGAATGGAAATATTTGTTAATAGTTGTTTAACTGTTTTTCAGAAGTGCAGCCAGCATAAGAAAGGAGGCATTCATGATTTGTAGACATCTTTCAGACTGAATGCATTGTCTTAGTGTAAACTGTAAAGACTTTGAAATTTAGAATGTTCAGCAACGAATGTTAATGTCGTTGGAAGTTGTCTCAGATAATCCGGCTTCAACTAGAGTAATCTAAACTTTGATAATAGTATTTCCTTAACAGAGAATATGATTGCTATACTACCAGGATTCAGTGGGAGTCAGTATAACCGAGTTGGTATAGCGATGGACTTTGGGCTAGATGACCGGGTTTCGATTCCCTGGAGGGTCAGGATTCTTCTCTTCTTCACAGGGTTCAGACCAGATCTAGGGCTAACCCAGCCTCCCATCCAGTGGGGACCTGGGGCACTTTCCCCAGGAGTAAAAGTGGTCAGGGTATGAAGCTGACTACACCTCCATATAGTGCCAGGGTCAGGGAGAGTGAAGTCTGTTCTTGATGGTTGTCGAGAGCGGTCGTTTTTCAGGAGATATAGTATCAGTGGGTTGCTACCTGGAAGACTACTGAGCCCACTGGGTACCTGGGCTGTGAGGACTCCCTGGCACTTTGCCCAAGGCTGAGAGAGCAAGAGACAAGCAAGTTTCTACACAGGCAACATGATTCTTTGTGCAGTGGCTCTTGCCATATTATTAGTAATCGGTGGTGTGGAGCAAAATCCTGGACCTGGAATGGAGGCGGAGAACATTCTGCATGTATTATATAGTGGGTGTGACAGAAATCTAAAATCGGGAACACAATGCAACACATGCGGACGATGGTTTCACAACAGCTGTGGTAATGTAGAGGCCCATATGGCAGACAGTGGGAAGTGGAGCTGTGAGAGGTGCAAATGGGACAGGCTTTGGCAACTGGAGGAGAAACTAGAAAATGCTCTGCAACAAATTGAAGATCTAAAATGGAGGAATAAGGGGCTAGAAGATCAGTAACGAGGGGTGGTAGCTGGAGGCTAGCTTGGCAGGTGGGATATGGTGCAGAGACTACATGAAGATGCAGAGTGCTTAGTGTTGGGTGACTCGATTATACACAACATGGAATCTGAACATATGAGGGTACAGTGCTTACCAGGAATTAGAACTGAACAACTGCAAACAGTAATGGAAAACAGAGATCTAGGGAACCCTGATACTGTTGTGATTCATGTAGGCACTAACGATTAAGACAAACTGCAAATCTGGATTATGTGATGGGTGATGTGTATGTTCTGCTGGTCATGTTAGTCGAGCGGTCTAAGGCATGCACTGTCTTTGCTCGCTCGGAAGCCGGGATTGTGGGTTCGAATCCCACTCAGGGCATGGATGTTTGTGGGCGTTTTTCTGTGTTTGTGTACAGATAGAGGCCTTGCGACGAGCCGATCACCTGCCCAAGGAGTCCTACCGTATGTCTAAGATCTAGTAAAACCAAAGTAAAACGGAGAGTTTTATGGAGGTAGGCCTAGGCCCAAATGAGGGCTGTAGCACTAATGAAAAAAAATGTGTATGCTCATTTTACAATGCGTATTCTAAAAAAGGGAAATAGCAACACTAAAAATTTAGCTTACACATATTTGGTGCATCCGATTCTGGAATATGTGGTGGCTTGCTGGGATCCTTACAGGGAGGTACAGATAAATGCATTAGACCAGGTGCAAAAGAAAGCGGCTAAATTTGCTCATTATAGGAACCATTTGAACTGGGGAACCTTGACACAGCGCAGGCAGGTAGCTCACAAATGTGCTCTCTTCAAGGCATACATGGGAGAACGGGCTTGGAAGACTATAGGTGATAGATTACAAAGGCGATCATGACAAAAAAAATAGGAGCAGAAAGCAACAGACTGATGTCGGAAAATACTCCTTTGTAAATAGGACCATACAGATCTGGAACCAACTACCTTTAAATGCTTTAGGGACTCTCCTGCAAACAAGTAATTTTAGGAAAAGGGTTAGGAAAGTGATAAATGATGCGGAGTGAAGGTGGGATGGAAATCAGCAAAAAATGAAGTGAAGTGAAGTGGAAAGTGTTAAGGATGGGAGGATTACGTAAGTGTAGTAAAGCGAAATGAAGGGAGAATGAGAACATGACATTATGCATTCATTGCTGTTAGTTTATTATATATTATGTCAATTTTCTACTAATGTTTGTGTGATTTTCTACTAATGTTTATGCACCGTGTTTTGTTTGAACATGTTTATGTGTGTTATTTGTCCGTTGTCTTATTGTAGTACCACTACCACTGGGTGAAAACCCATTTGCAGTCAATAATAATATGATGTTGCCACTCCTTGGTATGTCTTCATGGCATAATGCTTAATTAATTAAGCACATGGAAAACTTTACCTTCATCCCTCCAGGATTCAGTTTCTTGAATTAGGTTGTGTGTTGTAGAAAGGAGATGGAAGGGAAGCTAAAAAAATATAAGGTGTACACAGTAACCAGTTATTGTGAGGATTGTGTTGACTGTCCGCAGTATTGGTTGGACCGTTTCAGTACAGTTCAGTGCAGACAGACATTGCTTTGAGGTATAAGTGAATTAAATATTTTAAATACAGTGATGCTTTTGGAGATAAAAACCTGATTGAGGTAATTTTCTTGTAATTTTTTTATATTATGAAATGGTAAATATGCATTTCAGCAAAAGAGGGGATTGAATTATTAAAGCCTTGACTCAATATTCATAGTCATTGTGCTGGTATTTTGATCAAGTCTATGCTAATAATAATCGTATAATAAAGGCATAGTTCTGTTTCTTATGCCATTTTTCTGAACTGTGTAACATCCTAGAAATCATTGCCCCAGTGAGATGTCTGCAGGCCACAGCGGACTTATAAACATAAAAGACGTGTCAGATATATGACAGTTGAATGTAGCCAAATATAAGCATGTAAGAGTGAACACTGGTGACTACTGTGACAGTAAGGCGTGTCTTTCATAGTGGTCACTAGTGGCTGCTGTGGTAGTCAGTGTGTTAAAAGGATTTCACACAGAATTACTGGGATTTTGAACTTTTCCATTGTTCAGATTTCTAGGAAATAGAAAGCATGACATTTAGGAAACTGGATCTGTTTCCGTCTTCAGGTAAGGAATGAAAACACTCATTTGGCCCCCTGGCACTCTGTGAGGATATGGTTGGTATATAAGTGGAAGAACCTTTGTATTGAACATCCTAACCCATACACTCCAAAGAGGAAGAGGTGTGGCGAATGGAGATAAAGTGGGTTTAATGATTATTTCATTGCAGAAATTACTGTATTGGATGTTATGACATCAGTTGTAGCTCTGCTGGTGGAGTCATATAATTATGATACATATTTTTGTTTAATTTCAGATTTTATCACAAGGGAGAGGAGGATGGTATGATGATAAAATTATCTTGGATATCCATGCCATCACTGAGCTTCGTGATCAGAATGTCCCTCTGACAGATGATTCACCAAAGTACAATTACCATGCCAAATCTGAAGATAAGGATGCAGAGTATGGTAAATATCTGCTTCGACTGTGTAATATTCATTCCTTATAAGCCCTGTGCTAAATGGAGTGTAAAAGGTTGGTCCGTATATGACAGTAAGACTGGATTTTTCTCTAAAATTGGTGTTTACAGAGGAAAATGTATGGAGCCTGAAGATACTGGTGAACCACTGGGGGAACAAGTCGTTTTTAAATTGTTTGGGGGATTGAGAACAAAGGGCATCTTGCATGTTATTGTAGCTTCCTTTCTCTCCCTGTCTCTTTACAGGAACTAAGAATAAATAGAATGGGTGCATGTGGCACTTTAAGGGTAAATAGAAAAGGCCTTCCTATGGACACAGAGCCATAAACATTTAATATAAGAAAGGGAAATTAGCCAAGAGTGGGGTGAATACAATGAAAAACATGATTACATGTACCTGGCAAGACACAAGGATAGTGAATCTGCTCTTGGCTATGCATAATAGTGGAACTGAATTATTGCAAGTACAATCTAGGGGCATGTGGCAGTATAATTGGTTGAGGCACTATGCTACAAGCCGGAAAGTTGCGGGTTTGAATCCCAGTGAGTTCATCGGATTTTTTTTTTAATTGACCTAATCTCTCTAGCCCCACTATATCCCTGGAGTTCATTCAGCCTCTAAAAGAAATGATTACCAGGAATCTTTCTTGGGGGTGAAAGGGGACCAGTGTGTAAAGCTGACAACCTCACTGCTATTGGTGAGCCGATTCTCTAGAAAATGTAGGAGCCTTGATGTCTAAGGAAAGGGAATATGATTTTCACAATGTATGTAAACCCATATTGGTGGCACATTAAATTACATATATGAATTCAACAGATTTGATGAAATACCTACCAGTTACAGGTAGCATATAAGAATATAAAGGTGCCATTTTCTGTGGTATTTTATGATAGAAACAGCCCTTATAAGTGGGAGAATCACTGACTCTTATGAGAGGGGAAAAAAATTCGATGACCATTTCCCAAAGCTCAACTGAGTGAAAGTCGCTTCATTTTGCAAAATGATGGTAAATCTCGTGTGAATATTGTTTGCTCCATGAGGCCATCACAATACAAATACAAAGGAAAGAAGGGCTGTAGGAGGAGGCAGACTTCATTTTCCTGTCCAGCCTTTCCAGGAGAGCCTGCAATGTCTGTCATCCTTTGTTTTGAGAGATACCACCTGGCCAGAGACTACAGAATGGTCTGCAAGTGATAGGCGTGATATGTACATATATATCCAGTGGCAGTGGTGTAAGAAAGCAAACATTATGTTTCTGGGCATTGTTTATTGTCCTGTTTCTATTTGAAACACTTTTCAGAGATAGGTACCATCTCTATTGATTGGGCCCAACAGAGCAGGTTATGCCTTAACACGGAGACAGAATTCAGTCTCTGAAATGTTGTGGGTTAAGTAAAAACAGGAGGGTATTTTAAAGAAGAGCAGGACAATGGGTAACGTTTAGAAATGTAATATTTGTATTTAATATACCATCGTCATAAACTTTTAGATTTTATTTATGAGAACGCAGCTTGTAAAAATAAATTTAAAATGTGCAGTTTTCATAATTGGCATAATTGGAATGTTAATATTCTTGTAGAAATCTGCCAGCATACATAGTTTTGAGATCCATCCTCTATTGTTTGTTATTTGTTTTTTGTCTTCTTTGGAACTTTAACCTCAAAATTGTTGAGAGAGATGTAATAATGTATGAGAAATATGACTCTTTTTAATATTATGAACTGCATACTGGAGTTTCATGATCAATCACTGGTTCCATAGCAGTTTTTAACCTTTAAACGCTGGACTATTGTAATAGTGGTAGCTTGTGCTGGCCGGAGTTTATTTAAATGTCCACTGCTGGTGCGCATTTTAATGCCCATTGTCTCTCTGTGTTTCAATGTCCATTCCTGTTAGGGTGCTTACATTGTACTTAAAATGCTGTATCTAATACAATTTTTATGATAAATGAATAGAATTAACTTTGTTTTTATAACCAAAGAACACAGTGTCGCATATTATAGCGTAAATTTGAAAATATGAAGACAAATTATAAATTACCTTTAATTGTTTTTCTTGTAATTTTGATGCACACTGTAAAAATAGTTTCCCACTTTTTCACATAGTAGTGTTGCATTATAAAATCACTCCTGCTTGTAACACTTGAAATATTTTCGCATTCTCTGCTGCCATAAAACAGCTGGAAGATAGAAAGTCATTTGGTTCTCTGCTGGGAAGTTTCAAGTCTTTGTTACACTCTTCAGATATCCCAGTCTTTGGGCTAAAGGACAGAAAAGTGAAAACATGGCGTTTATAGAAAGGCTACAGGGTAAATTCATTGTTTCCTAATTCAGTCCCAAACCCTGCCATTGCAGCTGCAAGAGAATATTGCCCTTTCTATGGTTGCAACCAAACGCTTATATCGCAGCTGAGATACAGGGTGCATTCAGTTTTCTGTGAGTTCACAGTGAATTTGAATATTGTAGTTTCATTTTGTCATACAATGGCAATGAAACGTTTGGAACACGAAATTAAAAGGCAGTGCAAGATATGTGGTGTGGGACTGTGCTTTCTTGGGTGCTTCAAGGAGTATTACACAAAGGCGAGATTCGGTTACATGACACGGGGGTTGAAGCCTGTATATACATCAAGCAGATAACAGCAAAAAAATGTATGTATATTGAATTTTAATCTATTTAAAACTAAATATATAGGATTGTGCATATTCTTCTACTAGCGGAGGGTGCGTGCACTTCCGCTACTAGAGTTTAAATGCCTAGCTGCCCAAATCAGGGTACTTTGGCCACAACAGCCATACTCATCACTGGCCCGATAGGGGCACTTCAGACCTTAAAGGTTAAGTAAATGCAAGTAGTCATGGATACATGAGTGATTTTTAAATGTCTTATTTGTCGAGGTTCAATATTTATTCATTACTTTTCAGAATTTTAATAGCATTACTTTGTTATCTTTGTAGAGTTTGATGGTTGTATTGCCAAGGTGTTAAGACTGCGGCATTCCAAGAAGTTTGTGGACCATGTGACTTCTGGGCAGGAGTGTGGAGTTCTGCTGGACAAGACTTCTTTCTACGCAGAGCAGGGCGGGCAGATTTATGATGAAGGCTTCTTAGTCAAAGTTGGAGATGAGGTTAGAATCTATATATGACAATTACGTACAGTAAAATCCCTGTTTGATGTTTCTCTTAGGAATAATGAGTTTCCACACTATCCTGAGGAAAGCCAGTATGTGGAGGAAGTTTATCACTGAGATAACTACTAATAGGACCCAAGCAACTGAAAACTAAAAAAGAAAGTACCTTAGTTCTGTTAAAGTGAGAAGGTAATTTCCTGTTTATGTGGTTCTTGCCCTAATCAGTGTGTGTGTGCGCCCCCACACCCACCCCACCCCACACATACACATGTGCACATGCAGAGAGAGATAGAGAGGCCTGCCCAAAATTTATGTTGTACCTTTTGTAACCTTCAAAATATAATTCCTGTGGTGCAGGAATACAGTTTTCTTTATATGGCCTGCCCCACAGGAATTATATTTTGAAGGTTACAAAAGGTACATGTGTTTCAGCACAATTTTTAATCTTAAGCAACCATTCCAAGCAACAAAATGATTCTCCAGGTATGATAGTAATACAGGCAGATTCTTTTTTAAGATTTCCAGAAAATGTTTAGCTGGTTCAGCAGAAGAGACACAAAGTACTTGTGTCAATTTTTTCTCCCACTGACTGAGCGTGCCATGCCATCGACAAGCCAGTAGGCTAACAGATCACAAACAAAACCCACACAGATCACAGCAGATTCCAGAAATGGTCCCTGTTATTACATATACAATCCTGCCACATCTGTAAAATATTGAGATTCTCTTATTGAATTTTTTTTTGGAAACAGAGCAAACTTGAAATCTGAAATTTGAAATTCTGGTCTCCTGTGCAAGGCATCTTAAGGGATTTTTGATGAGGATATTCAAGCCTAGCATTGATTTCATCCAATTTCTCTTCTTTGAGCACTCAGCATTTTAATTTGGTTTTCTTTTTTGTTCACATATGGCCCTGTCTGTCTAAATTTATTTATGATTGTATGAATAGTCTTGCAATGTGTAACTGTGGCATCCATCCTACTTATCACATGGGTATCTATGTGAACCCTTGTTTTACTGTGTAAGTCATGTGGGACTACAACACAAGAAATTAGACTGATTGAATGTTTAATATAATAGGGCTTGCAGTTATGGTCACCGGGTACATAATGCGTAAGCTTGCATCATGATAGCTGTTAAAAGGTTTACCTGGCAGTTTTGAAGAGAAATTGCAATACATGTAGGCTGTTGTCCTGTTAACTACACTGTGAATCCTTATTTGCATCGTGTGAGTTAAAGCGAGTAGCATATGGCCCTCCTGCCATATCAGCTGAACAATTTTCAGTTGTGTCACAGATAATCTCACTGTATATAACTTGTGTACTTCGAAAAGAGTAACCACAAATCTTAAATTTTTATGAATTAGGCCCTGAGGTATGTTCCCATTTAGAGTGAACTTCTGAAACTGTGATCCCTTTTTAGAAATTTGATAGGGCTCCTGGACATCTGGACAGGGTATTAGCCTATTGGCAAGGCCTATATGTACACTGGACAACAGAGACACAAAAGTAATGCAGACATACATTCATGTAATGAGTGGGATTCGAACCATTGATCCCAGTGTTTCAATGGTCGAAGACAGTGAGGCCACCATGATAACCATATGACATAGGACAATGAATTTTTTCCATCTTCCATATATAATACCTGCCTTTGTTTTTAAGGTCACATGGGAAGTTGGGAGAAACAATCAGTCTTGAAGCATTTCATGTACTGCTGTGTTTAATATTGTTTTCTTTCTGCAGAATGTAGAATTCTCTGTAAAGAATGTACAGATAAGAGGTGGATATATACTACATATTGGTACAGTAGAAGGGATACTTTGTGAAGGAGATGAGGTGTCATTACACCTCGACACATCTCGGAGACGCCTAGTGATGAACAACCACACAGGAACTCATGTGTTGAATTTTGCTTTGCGAACTGTGTTGGGGACAGAGGCAGATCAAAAAGGTTCCCTTGTAGCACCTGACAGACTACGTTTTGACTTCACAAACAAGGTTTGTAAATGGTCTGTACAACATGAGCTTGTGAATTGTCTTGCTCTCATTGGGTAAAGTGTGAGATGCTGGATATGATAGGAAATTAATATAAAGTCTTATCATCATGTCATCCACTTATTTGTGTTACACTGTGTTCACACAAATTTGTAATGACTTAACAAAAATTTGACATTTGAAAATGAAAACGGTGAAAACTGTGACAAATTTTTTTATTCTAATATTATCTTGTAACTTTACATCTGCACTGTAATATTTTCATATAAGTTCACAGTTTCTCATTCATTTACCTTATTTAATATTATCACCTTAAACATATGAATTACTGCCCTTAGGACTACTTCTCTCCTCTTCTGCTGGTTGTGGGCTACCGTACTTGTGCCAGTCCCGCTGAGCCTTCCATAACTCTCGCTGACTTTCCTGCCGTTTTTTCCCCTCACATGTCGCATCTAATTCACTGCAGTCTTGGATGTCCCAGTAGTCACAGTTCTCACTTATGAACAGGTTTTAAAGAAAATTACATTAGCATGGTAAACGTAAACCATTGAGTCATTCCAAATTTATTTCTCTTAACTTCATCTCACCTGCCAGTAACCTGTTTTTCTCTCTCTGTGCTTCAGTGCCGTTAACTGTGAAGGGATGAAATACATTTTATGCTCTCATTACTGAGTTGGGTATATTCCAATTTAAAACTCTTTGGTTAACTGAGAAAACTCTCCTTGATTTTGTATTCTTTGTGTTTGTCCAAGTTATAAAGTATGGGGTGAGAACTGAAGCTCTCACTGTGGCTAAAGTTGATAAAATCTTTTCAGGCTGTCAGTCATGTCAGTTGGTTAAGTATTAGTCATGTTTCAGGGACCATCTGTGTCCCCATCATCAGACCCTTATGTAAAGTATGGATTTTATACATTTGTTAAATCCACTTTTAACATTTTTCTGTATTAAAGTTTTTAACTGACGTATGAGAAAAATCTTTTCCATATTTCAGATGTAATTGCTCTATGCTAAAGGTTAAAGATTGAGATGTATTGTTTCTTCATTTCCATGCATGTGTGAAAGATAACGACAGATATGTTCCTTCAGTTATGTGATTTTTTCTCATGTGTACATCTTTGCAAAAGAGAGAAATGGTTACTGTAAGAGAATATTGTTACATATTTGTCATAAAGTAATATTTAAAAGATTTTTACTTTTGTGTATTGATTTTTGATAGGGTGCAATGTCTGTTGAGCAAGTAAAGGCTACAGAAGTTCATTCCAATGCTGTGATAGATAAAAATGAACCTGTATATGCTAAAGAAGCTAGCTTGGCTGTTGCAAAAGCAATCCAAGGCCTTCGTGCAGTATTTGAAGAGACATATCCAGATCCTGTCAGGGTGGTGTCTATAGGAATCCCTGTTGAAAAGCTGGAAGAGGACCCGTATGGACCAGCAGGCAATAATACTTCAGTTGAATTTTGTGGTGGAACGTGAGTGAGAAATCTAATACTAGTTTAAATTTGATGATTTGGGAATCCTACAGTTTAATCAGTTACAGGAATTAGGTGTTCCTATGAGTATAGTATAAATATATTATGGTTTCATGCACTCTTGTGGACAAATAAATCTTTGTTCTGTAAAAGGTAGGAACTTCTTGACCAGTTAAGGGATACTCAGATTCTTAAGGGCTCTGCTAAATGCACATACTTATTTTGAAGTTGACGCCAAGAAACTGCTGAATGAGGGCTAGGTGATATTTGTATTATGAGAGACTGCATGTTGACAGTTGTAACATAATACTTTATTTACATGATACTGGTGCGCTTTGGGTTTTCTGTGTGCATTGCATAAAATGAAAGCCTTATGGGTTTAATATTTTGTCTGTTGTCTTTTGAACACCAGACACCACTCACAGAATTGGATGAAATTTAATATGGAAAGTTTCCTGGATTCCTACCCCATTGGAGTTCACATTTTCATCCCTTTTGTTATTCTAGCAGACTTTGGTGCGCATATTGATACTTAATGACCGTTATGTCATCTGTTTTATTTTGTACGAAATCCAGCATGTTCATACTTAGATTCTTGTATCATTCTGAACATAGAGCTCTATGGAGATTGCTCTTATTTAGTTTCTGATGAAGATTTTACTTTATTTAGACATTTACATCGTGCTGGCCATGTTGGAAAATTTGTTATTGCAAGTGAAGAAGCAATTGCCAAGGGAATCAGAAGAATTGTAGCCCTCACAGGACCTGAAGCTTCAAAGGTACGTGAATCAGACTTTATTTATGTGGACCATTTGGAATTTAATGTACAGAATCCAATCAGTATTATGAACTTCTATTACAGCAATTATCTTGTGGTAGAAGTTGAATGTTATGAAAGGTGTTAAAATTGCTATAACTTAAATTTAGCAAAGAGAGAGAAGGATATTTGGTTACTGATGGCTGTACTAGTTATCAGAAGTGGGTTATAAACCAGATGCTTTATGTTTTGAAGTTGCTGGTAACAGGTTTGATTCTGCGACTACTGCATTGAGCCAGTGAAGTGACTGGCTCTGTCCGAAACAATTCTAAATCAAGCATATTTCCTGTAAAGTTGAACTTCTTGCTAAAACATTTTTTTCTATTTATTAGGCTTTGAAGAAGACAGAGCTGCTTGAAAACAAGTTGAACAAGTTTATTTCATTGCTGAACAGTGACGATAGTGAAATCAGCAATAAGGACCTTGTGAAAAAGATTGTCGAACTGACAGATGATGTCTCCCATGCAACCATACCGTACTGGAAGAAGGTGTATTATTGCTGCATTTGGTCATTTAAATGCTTGTACCATAGTTCATACCACCTTGATGCATGTTACTGCTAAATTGAGTTTACAGTTATGAATGTTGGGGCTATACCTGAACTAATAAAACTGTGTAGAATATTAATTAGATCAGCTAGTTTTCTGGGTGCATTGAATTTATAAAGATTCTTGATACTTTTATATTATTTTATATGTATATGAGACAAAAATTATTCACCTTCACATCAAAGCTGAGTAACTTTTTTTAAATATGTATAGGAGGAAATGAGGACAAATTTGAAGCATCTGAAGAAGCAGTTAGATGACAAGGATCGTGCCAGCAAAGCTGAAGTTACTGCTAAAGTTTTAGAAGAAGTTAAGGCCCTCCTTGCTGGTAACCCCAAGGCACCAGTCATTGTGCAAGAGCTGAAAGCTTATTCTAATGCAAAGGTGAGGCTTTTAGCAATTTGTAGTAAATTATTTAATGTTTGGTGTTTATTAGTACACTGTTAATCTAATGATGGTGGGTTACTGTAACTAGTTATAATAGCAGTTCATCAGTTACAAGTCCAGTGTAGGTATTTTGACATAGTTTAAATGAATACACTTCATAGACACTTTTAAGATAGTAATGAGTCATTTTGAGTATGGTAGTGAGGAAGATTATCCCACAGACAGACAGACACACTTTATTAATGCTAATGAGATATTAAGAGGAGGGAAAGACTTGCCCCGTAAAATTTGTTTATAGTTAACCTTGCAGCCTGAGTCACATTTGAGGGAAACAGAAATATGGGAAATTGAAGCTGCAAGTCAAACTTGGGAAGTAAATACATATCGATATGCATGCACATACACACCACACCAAAGAACTTGTTAAGTGAGTAAAATGTCAGTTTTGTGGTGGTGTGTGCTTTCTAGGCAGGAAATCTTTTTAAATTGGAATACGTGTTACAAGGGTAAAGTAGGGCTAAATGATATGTGAAAAGTTTGGAACCAAGTTACTTTGAGGTTTAGTTCAAGCGGTTGGTTGCTGGCTTCCCACTGCGGCGGCCCGGGTTTGATCCCGGGTCTTGTCAAGTGGGATTTGGGGTGGACAGAGTGGCTCTGGGGCGGGTTTTCTCCGAGTACTTTGGTTTTCCCTGCCAATCTTCATTCCACCAAATTCTCCATCATCATAATCACCCGGGGCAGGCTACAGTAGGCCAGTCAGTGGCTGCCGTGCCAGGGACCCAGTTGGACTCCACCCCCCACTAAACGAAAGAAGTATTTGAGGTTTAAGGCAGGAAAATGCCTCTCACTGGGGTCACGTTAAACAGGTTTCGCTGTAGTTTTGTTCATATTAGCTAGCAGGAGTGGGGGCTCAAGTTTCATGCCCTCAATAAAGTAAGCAAGGAACTACCATAAATAACCTGTAACTCTGTCACAGCCCAAATTGTGAAGATTTCAGTGGGAAATGTGCCTGCTGTTTGAATGATAGATGGCCTTTCCATATTGTTGAAGATTATTCTGTGACATGACCTTGTTTGGCAGAAATAATTCTGAAATTTTGTATTTAGTTATAAAATGATCATGAAGGTCTTGAAAAGCCTTGGTGGCTTGTGGTCTTCTTATTATCAGTGAAATAAAATAATTTACATATCAGTTCCAGATAGTGTTGTTAGGACATTACTAAAACTTGAAATTGTTAGAACCCTTCTTATGGAGAAATATGATCTGTGTGTAGGCTTATTGCATCCATAAACATGAATAAACCCAGCATAACATATATCCTGTTCTCTGTCACTGATCTGCATGGTCTAGCAACTTATACTTGCAAAGGCTGTGCCATACCTCAAGTGGTTAGTCACTGGTTTCCCACCGTGGTGGCCCGGCTTTGATCCCGGCTCTGGTCAAATGGGATTTGTGGTGGACAGAGTGGCACTGGGACACGTTTTCTCTGAGTACTTCGGTTTCCCCTGCCAATCTTCATTCCACCAATTGCTCCACAATCACCCTCACCTATCATCTGGGGCTGGTACAATAGGCCAGAAGTGGCTGCAGTACAAGGGACTTAGTCCCACCCCACTAGCAATAAAAAAAATACACTAGCAAAAATAGATATCCGATTACATTATGATATTCTTCAGCATCATGAATGGATTGGTTGACCTGTTGCCTAGAAATGGGTTGCACCATCGTTTATTCACCTATCTTGCAGTCATTGAATAGCAACAGCTGTACATGATGCATTGCTCCCTCTTTTAGGCTATTCATCCTGAACGGCCTACAGGTGTACTGCCATTTCTTTTCCGAGGGCTGTTGCTTGGTTTTCACGGTGTTTACTCTGCAACTGCTTCCGCTGCTACCTGATAAGGTGCAAGCAGTTCCAGGCGCACCACCATGAACATTCTTTTCCACATGATGACACACAACAGGATGCAAACAATAAAGATCCTTCTTTCGGTTGGTGTGGGCAGACTACATAGAGTGGCCGGTACTGTGACTCTTGCTCTATATGCAGTTCTTTCTTTCATTTTGGAGGGGGCTGACCCCTTCACAGTGTACAGGCACTCACTTTCCCCAAACCATTGGAAATCCCAACTGCTCACTTCATGATCTCCAACTTGAGAGTTTGTCCAAGGGCCTCATATAATGTCTTTATGCTTCCCAGACATAGCTGCTGCCTCCTGCTTCGTCCTCTGATGCCATTGCCAGTTGTCTCCTTCCTCAGTTTATGCCATTGTTACATTCTGGTTGCCCCTGATGTCTCTTCCCTAATGTCCATTCTTTAGAGGTTCCTCTTTCAACATTGTCCCTGGTCCGAATTTTCCATTGTCTGTTTGACCATTGATCTTTTATGACCACATCCATTATGTTGTGCTCTTCCTGCATGGTGGGTCATCCTTCAGACAGCAGCCAATTTCTTCTGGGACTCACCATTGCCCTTGGTCTGTTTCCTCAGCTAACTGTGGCACCCTGTGACTAGATGCCAGTCCCCATGCTGATTCATCAGTGCCCCAATAGTTTTCACTTCAGCCTCTTCCTTAGGGACTTCCTCATACACCACCATGGTATCTTTTTGTTCAGGATATACCTACAAATCCATGGCCTCTGTTTTGTGTAGCTGGGAGTCTGTCCTGGTTATCATCCTTTCATGATGCGCATTTATCTTGGCCATCATCTGTATTTGATTGGCGTCTGTCTTGGCTTCCAGCCATGCTGTCATTTCTTTTATGATTTCTTATTTCAGCTAGCTGATGTGCTATTATTTGTTCCATCTCCATAGTAGTGTGGCAGTATAGCTTGTTACTGCGGTCTTCAGTCCAGTCACTTCTGACACCAGTTATCATGATTTATGAGTGATAGTTGACAGGGTGTGGATTCATGAATTGATTTATTGACCACAGTAAATTGAGACACAGTAAGTCTTCTCCAGCTTGCACTGTCCTCACTAGTCGTTGCTTGGTCACAGCTCTCAACAATGGAAATTCTTCAGCTTCTCTGCTCAGTTCATTACCGTCCAGCAAATATCCCACAACTCCACTGGCTCGACTGATCTGGGTTTCCCACTTGTCTTCCTTATCACCCCTTTGCACGGACTGAGTAGAAGACACCATTTCACATTAACTGTATTGTTTTGTGCATATTCATTGGTGCAGGAACGTGTTTTATCGATCTGTTGCCTAGACGCACTTTACATCAGCTTCAGCTTGAT